GATTTTGCGTCGATTTCCGCCGCCTGAATAAGATCTCGGTGGCCGACGCGTATCCGCTCCCCAGGATGGACGAGTCTCTCGATGCATTGTCCGGTGCGCGATACTTTTCGACTCTTGATTTATTGTCCGGATTTTGGCAGTTGCCACTCGACGAGGAGTCTAAGCCTAAGACTGCATTCCGGACTCCAGGGGGCCTGTTTCAGTTTAACCGGTTACCCATGGGACTTCACTCCTCTCCTGCGACGTTTCAGCGTCTTATGGAATTGGTTTTGTCGGGCTTGCAGTGGGAGACGTGCCTCATTTACCTTGACGATGTCATTGTTTTCGGTAAAACGTTCGAAGAACACCTCCAGCGATTGAGAGGGGTGTTCTTGCGAATGCGATCGGCTAAATTAAAGTTTAAACCGGCCAAATGCCATCTTTTTCGTAAATCCGTGAGGTACTTGGGTCACATTGTCGACTCTTCGGGGATTTCTACCGATCCTGCGAAGACGGACTGTGTCAGTTCGTGGCCGACGCCCACGTCAGTGTCAGACGTGCGCAGTTTCATCGGTTTTGCTTCGTATTATCGCCGATTCGTTGAGCACTTCGCCACCATTGCAAAGCCCTTGCACGCTTTAACGGCGAAAGGAGTGAAGTTCCGGTGGGGACCGGAGGAGGAGGCTGCATTCTGCTCCCTCCGGGACGCCTTGGTAAGGGCCCCACCCTTGTGCTATCCGGACTTTGAGAGTCCCTTCTTGCTAGACACGGATGCTAGCAACACGGGCATTGGGGGAGTGCTGTCCCAAGTCGTTGGAGGGGTCGAACGGGTGGTCGCCTATGGTAGCAGGGTGTTGTCGCCGGCAGAGCAGCGCTACTGCGTCACCCGTCGTGAACTACTTGCCATTGTTTTTTTTGTACAACAATTCAGGCCATATCTCTATGGTCGTCATTTCACGGTCCGGACGGACCATGCGGCGCTCCAGTATTCATTACGGGTTGCCCAGCCCTCGGGCCAATTGTCGCGGTGGTTGGAAGTCCTCCAGGACTATCAGTTCACGACTACGTACCGTAAAGGGTTGCGACACACGAATGCCGATGCCCTGTCGCGGTTGTTGCCTTGTCACAAATGTGCGTGCTTATCGGGATCGGCGCGCTGTAAACCTCCGGTTACGGAAGGTAGGGAGGCGTTGGTTGCGACCGCGAGCACACCAATTGGGGATGGTCCCGCTACCCCAGGGGGTCAGGACTCGCTGCTCTCACTGTCGTTGATTGAGTGGGGCCGTCTCCAAATGGCGGACAGCTCCCTGCTGGCATTGCGCCGAAAGACGGAGGGTTCCGAAGGTAGCCACGACCGAACTGGCTCCTACGAGCTTAAGCAGGGCCTGTTGATGAGATGGGACAGTTTGTCCCGGCGGCATGCGATTGTGGTGCCTTCTGCTGTGAGAGGGAAGGTTGTCTTGGCCGCACACGAACGCCTCTTGCATTTGGGAGTTAACAAAACGCTTGCCCTGCTTCAGCGTGACTATTATTGGCCGGGAATGGGGGGTGACGTGGTGAATATTCTGAAGGGTTGTGTTGAGTGCGCCAGACGGAAACCACCGCCCGTGGCAGCTAATCCACCGCTGCAATCTATTCAGGTCTCGCGCACTAACGAGCTCGTTGCACTCGATATTCTGGGGCCCTTTCCGGTCACGCCTAGGGGTAATAAGTACCTGTTGGTGGGGGTCGAATATTTTACCCGGTGGCCTATGGCGTGGCCACTCGCCAACCAGTCGGCGGCGGCTGTGACGGACGCCTTTGTCCAGGGCTACGTCCTGGACAAGGGGGCTCCCGAACGCTTGCTGACTGACCAAGGGAAAAATTTTTCGAGTAAATTACTGCAGGAGGTGTGCGACCTGTTGGGTACCAAAAAGGTGCGTACCTCCCCGTACCACCCGCAGACGGACGGGATGGTGGAGAGGCTTAACAGGACATTGACCTCTATGCTGTGCCAGCAGGTGTGTGAGTCGCATGTTGATTGGGACCTGCAGGTCCCTGGGGTCCTTGCCGCGTATAGAATGGCCCCCCATGCAGCTACGGGGTTTTCCCCGTTTTTTCTAATGTACGGTCGGGAAGCCGACCCGCCCATGGAAACGCAGCTGGGTCTGCCCGCACCACGAACTAATTCTAAATTGGCAGAGCATATTAAATTTAATATTCATAAACTGACAGAGGCAAGGGAGGCCGCACGGCTTAATTCGCGGGCTCGCCAAATTGCGAACGAGCGGTTGCGGGCACGGAAGGTGTCCGTGCACAATTGGGAACCAGGTGACAAGGCCTGGCTGCATTGCCCTCAGGCACCTTTGGCCACGTCGCCTAAATTGTTGAAGCCGTGGCGGGGACCCGTGGAGGTCGTGCGGGTGGCACGCCCCCAGTGCGTTCAGATAAAATGGGGGAAACGCCGTTGGTACGTCCACCCCTCCCGACTGAAACCGTTCTCGCCTCCGTATGGCCTCCCCTTGTGTCGTGAGGGCCGAGCATGTGACGTGACCGACGACCCTGAGGGGGAATTGTCCTTGCCTGCTCCTCACATGTCTCCACCTGATCCGCTCCCAGGTGTCTCGGAACTGACTGCTGCCGACCACCGGCGGCCGGATCTTCACGGCGGGGCCGGTCCTTCCAGGCCCGACCCGTGCCGTCTAGAGCTGCCGGAGACACCGGACGGTCGCCAACGTCCCGTTCCATACGACGGACCGGCCAGACGGACTCGCGCTAGGTCGCGCTACTTTGTGTAACCTACCACGTGCGGAGTCGAGGCAGCCGGAGCGCCTCGGCACTGCGTGGGTCACAGTGACACTTGGCGCGTTCGTTTTACGGTGTTCGCTTTTATTGTGTTGTTCGTCGGGCTGTATATTGCTTCATATTTAAGGTTGTGTTATGTTGTTGTTGTTGTGTTACGGGGCACACTGGGATGTGGAGTTCTTTATTACTGCGTTGCGTTATGTTGTGTTGTAGGTTAACAGCCGGGCCGGCTGCAAGCTATGTGGGAGGGGGTGATGTAGAGGTGATACGCGCTGGGATTAAGGATCGTATGCACAGTGCGTGATGATTGGATGTGTAGGTGGTGACGCGCTGAGAGGGAGTGATCAGGTGGCAGCGCAGTGTGATTGGTGGAGTAATGTTAACACGCGCTGGGGAAAGCGGATCGTAGAGAGAGTGCGTCGTGATTGGGTCATTAAGGAACGACGCTCACGTCGACGCCGCATCAGCTCCGTCCCTCGTGAGCAGGGGCTATAAAAGGGGATGCACACAGGCGTAAGGGCAGTGTGTAACCAGCGAAGAAGGAAGACGGGGATGAAGACCTAGAGCCCTGCGGTACCTAGCCCCGCTGTCCTAAGGGGACCGGGACTCTGTGTAACCCAGAGGCGAGTGTAGTGGGTGTAGCCATAGGTCTACACGAGCCGAATGTACTATGTGTAGCCAGGGCATAGGGCTTACACGAGTCGAGTGTATTGTGTAGCCAGAGGCATAGGGCTTACACGAGTCGAGTATATTGTGTGTAGCCAGAGGCATAGGGTCTACACGAGTCAAGTGTATCGGGTGTAGCCAGAGGCCTAGAGCTTACACGAGATTAGTGGAGTGTGTCGGAGGAAGAAGAGAGACCACACGTTGTATTGTGATACCTAAAGGATTTAATAAAAGTGTGTTACCCGTCAAGAAGTTCCTGCCGTCAATTCCCATACTTCACTTGTGGTCAGAATGCAAATAAAAACATACTCTGATAATATATGCACTGTCCTTGAAACTGATTGGTCCACACCAGAGACAGCTTTCTTTTGAGCCTCGTCTCAAAAGGGCCGTGAGACCGCCTTTATGACGTCACGCGGCGTGGTGGACTTTGGTAGATTTGTCGACAGACTTTAGGTGTGGGGCGAGACGTTACACTGCGTGTACGAATGGTATACACGTAAACCATTTGATTTAAAGCTTTCGTGACTGCAGGGATTCATATAATTGGTTCTTTCGGTAAAGTCACGTAGAAGGGAAATAATACAATAATAAAAATATAAAACAATACAAATTCTCACGACGTATCATCATCAGGTGTGATTTTTTCTTGCTGTGGATTTCACACCTGATGATGGTTGCTTGTGTTGCAGTCGAAACGTCGTGAGAATTTTTATTTAGTGTATTTTTATTATTTTATTATTTCCCTTCTATGGGACTTTACCTAAAGAACCAAGCATAATGGTATACACGTTGTTTGTTTGTTAAACCGTTTCACGTGGGAGCGGAAAAACCACGGGCCGTTATCAATACCTTTAAACCCCTTATCAGTGCCCAACTTATTACAGACCAGTTCAGACCATATTGGTCATCCCGTGTCCCTTATTACATCTCAACGTTCGTCCTACAAAGTCCCCATCACAAGGGAGAAACACAAAGACACATTTTGTTTTGCCCGTATTAAAACGGCTGTACAACGCATGGACCTGAAAAACTGTACAATAATACGGCGTTACTGTGTATATTCCCTACCTGGCAACAGCACTGTGTTTGCTGTGTCAGCGTTAATGCCGCATGATGCTAAGAGAGTGTCAATCTGTGTTATATAGGGAGTATAAATTACCTGAACTGATTGTGTGCTGAACAATCAAATCGCTCGATGTTTTGTTCGGAAAAAAATTTAATTTAAATAAAATAAAAACATTTGTATTTATTAATAACATCTTGGGTTTGGGGGTGCATGCTTTTTTCACATCAACGTTTCCCAATAGCGTTTATGGACGCCACCCACGGACACATTTTTGTTGTTGTTGTTGACACCACAGATTCAGGCCATCGAATAATAAAAAAACATTTTAAAATGTGATGATGCAATCGTAATCATTTGGATTTCCCAGAGCGGATAAGGCGAGCGGCGGGGGGCGGGGCCTCCGCGTCGCGCCACGCCATTGGACGAACGCTCGCCGCATCCGACGACGGCGACCAATCAGGCGCCTTCGACGCTCCGCATCGGCGCACCCGGTCTAGGGAATTCGAACCCGGTTGGGGCATGGAGCACGTGGCCACGTGGATGATACGCGTGGGGGTTTGGTAACTTTAAAGAGTTTATCTATAATAGAGTTTTATACATTTGTTGTTGTTGTTTGTGTTAGATCGCGTAAATATAAGTACGTCGTTAAACCCGCCACGTCGACAGAACGTGCCCAATTCGTGACTGGTACAGCGTGATCACCGGTGCGCTTAGGAGAGTATATCCGCGGCATTTACAATCTTAACGAGTTTAAAGTGTTTATTCTCTTGTGCGATGTAAAAGGCACGGTAGCGTTGGTATTTAGGTCACGTTGGTGATGCAGAGGGAAGGAAAATAGGGAAACGCCCGCCTAGTGCTGCGTGAGAAGTAAGTACTGTCTGTGTTAAATACAGTGGCAATGTATTGTTGTTGCTTGCTCTTACAAACACATCTTTGTCAATATTGTTAGGCATGTATTAACAACACACCAATCATTATCCTCGTGAATATACCTTACTACCTTAAGTACATCGCGGGATGTCAATATTGCAATAATAAACAATGTCCTAAAACACCAAGACACTGTACTGTAATTGTCTTTATTAATATTATTCATTGTCTTGTTATACATACAGCACATTGCAATGTTGCCTTCAGAATCCTCAAAATAACTGTCCATATACAATACATGTATTACATTATTAACTCTTAAAATCGCAGTATTGTCTTTACGAACACTACGTCTTCGGAATAAACAAACTTGAGTGATATTAAGTAAGCTTCACATCACGATGTGTTGCATACACTGCCAACCCCTTATCAGTGCCCGATCTTATTACAAATCCAATTCAGACACCTTATTGGTCACCTCGTGCTCTTATAAATCTCAACGTTCTTCCAACACTTATGAGCAAAATACACCTCAATAAGAAATGCTATAACATCTCAAAGTAGAACCCTCCTGAAAGTGAGTCTTGGTAATCGGTTAAAATGTTACGGATTAATAAGTGATAGTATAACAGCAACCCATTGCCACTGCCACAAGCTGCACATCAGCAGTTTGAGAGATTCCACTGCGGTATTGCCATTAATCTCACGTTGAAACGCATGGCACAAGTGGCCCAGCACTGCATTGTAAAACAAAAGTTACATTTTTCTATCTGAGGATCAATTGGAACACGTGGTTGACTGTCAGCACCTCCCTACCTCATTCCCAAACTCTGATATGCCCAAGCCTAGAGTTAATGGCCCTGCCTACTGCTTATAGGCTATGCCTACTCTGTTGAGTCCATCCACTAAGGTACTGTCTGAGCTAAACCAGCATGTGTATGTATGTTGAACCTATACTCTTTGGTTCTTTCGGTAAGGTCACGTGACTTTACCGAAAGAACCAAAGAGTATGGATCCGTGCAGTCACGAAAACTTCAAATCTAGATTACGTTGAACCTCTTTCACACCGTACGTAGGATTATGTGGTAGCTGTATTTGTGGCGCATACACTGTGCATCAAACTCCCCTTAATGCATGCGTGCAGTCACCGTCAAGCCCCGCCACCATGACTGCGGTGGAGACGCGGTTGTGTGAGCTGCTGCTGCGCGAGCACTTTGGGGAGCTGGTATCACGGGCCGGCACGCACCTGGTGCACACGGGACCGCAGCCGCTGCGCCTTGTTGCCCTTGGCACCGGCCTCAACCTGGACCAGGTGATGGACTGGGTGTGCCAAAACGTCGTGGTCCTCGGTGCCACTCGCTCACTCGCCGCGATATGCCCACCGCCTTGAACCCATCTCCGCAAGTCCACCATCGCTTCAGACTTACAAGACCTCCTCTTAAGTGGTTTTTCATTTGGAAAATGTTTACGAAGAGGCTCTAAGCGGGCTTATTACACCAATATGAGATCAGATTTTACGGTAACATTTGGGGCTAGCCATAGAATTGTTTACTTTAACACCAAACACCAGCATAGTTAGGCTCAGATTGGTGTTCTTAAAAGTATGGGTCACAGCCCCCGGCTACCCTTCGGATCTTTCACTGCTCGTTAAAGAACAGCCCACGGAAGTAGATATCACATCTACCTCAGAGATCCCTTGAAGTGAACTCTGGTCCACAAAGTAGGGGTCAACAATTTCCTACACGCCCTGCAATATCCAGTAATGTTTGTCACATGATACTCAAACAGACCTGGTTTTCACCTGAGGACGGCTGCTTGCGTTGTGGCCGAAACTGTCGTGAGAATTATTTTATTATGTTTTATTTTTATTATTTTATTACTTCCCTTCTACGTGACTTTACCGAAAGAACCAAGAAGGTGTTGGTTTTTGTGCAGTCATTGCCGACCGGACAAAGACCACAAACTCGCTACGCGTGAAAATCCAGTTCAATTTCAGGCAGTTTCCTTGATTCAAACACAAGGTCTCTACGTTGCCAGCTCGGCACTCTGAACCACCTGGCCACCATTCCGCTCCCTGAAGTACTTTAAACAGGACATGCAGGGCAAAGTGCATTGTCTCACAGGAATGGTTGCTCCATGTCCCGGCAGGTGAAGAAGGCGCTGTGCGTGTTGCTGCAGCACTGGGATGGCGTCCTTCAAGACGGGGAAGCGTGGCGCGAGCGGTCCCACCTGGGTGGAGTACACAGCGGATTACGCTGCGATGCTACGCATGCTGCGCTACACGCGCTACGTGTACTGCGCCAAGACACTGTACGGCGACGCGGGTGAACTGCTGATCGAAGAGACACTGCAGCATGGGCAGCTCACAATGAGCGCCGCCGTGCGCCGCGTTGCCGACCGCATGGCCAGCACCGCTGACGGTTCGCAACGCTGCTTCGATGACACCGTGAAGGCCCCAGAGGTCGCTGCCATGGTGCCGTGGTGGCAATGCATCTGTAATGTGCAGTGGCTTTGAGGCAGGGTTGCTGAATCATATGAAGATGGACACATACGTAAGATGTTTACGGGACAACCCTTGCTAGTTCGCTGTGTCGGGTGGTGGTGGGTTTTAACGGCACATATTTACGCGATCTAACCCAAAAAACTCTATTATGTTATGAGATGGCAGACAAGCAGATAGGTTACTGACTTTATCTGTATAAAATGGATTGTGTTTTCCCTTCACATCCGTAGATTTGCTTCAGGTACTCCAGTTTGCTCTTATGGTGTGCAAATGCTTAATACGAATCTTGCCAAACATTCTGATAATCAACCTAGGCACCTCACTGCCCTGCACATGTGATGATTCATCACTATATAATCCACCGGCCCTGCCACGAGGTCACTGGAGCACAGGCATGCATCATCACCACACCTGTATAAATGGATAACGGTCCTGGACACATCATCATTGCATTGTGATGGTATTGTAAGTCATTGTAAACAATCCTTACACTAAACAACTGTAGTAATCACTGCAGTGCATGTATTTGTAGAAAGCGAGTTAAAAACATGGATAAAAACACGGGCTTTACTGAGTCACTCTTTGCAACACATTTGTCGGTTAAAGTAGAAGGCTAACATTTTAGTAATTTTTTTATATGAACTTCATCCAATTGGCAAATATGAAACTAGTGCGCATGCTGTAAGTTTTTGTTCCCCCTCATCTCCACGTTGCAGAAGGCAAGACGGTGGAGTACAGCGACGTAGCTGCGGCGTTCACAAACCTGGTGAACACACACTTCCTGCAGCGGTGGCTGTCGGGGAAGGAGGAGGGGGAGGGTGCCCGTCCAGAGGCTGCCCCCACGCTGGTCTCCAACGAGACGGACATGTACACTGTGCCCAAGATTCCCCTAATCGGTGCGCACTTGCAGAATATGGATCGCTAACAAGAGATGGTTCATGGAGTTAGCTTTATAAAAGTTAAGAATAGGACATGGGCACACTCTCGAACTCAACGCCAACATCAAGTCCATTGCTCTTGCTAATATTTTCAAATAATTAACAAACTTTTAAAGTAACAACGCGTTAATGGCATCCGTGTGTAATAAATATGTATGTTGAATTTTTTCGCACCGTACGTAGCCAACCATGCTAATCAGAGGTGCGGGGAAAGGGCAACAAATTAAACACAAAAAGCAGTTCTAAAGAAGTAAGTTTTAATTTTAAATTTAAAAGTGCATAGCTCCAGTGTCTTCCTGATATTGGAAGGAAGAGCGTTCCAGACGGCCGCAGACGCGCATCTGAAAGCGTGCGATGTAGTGACCGTCTTTGTTCGATGGTTAGGATATGTAATTACCTAGTGAGTAGAGCATTAACATTTCCAGTGCAGTATGCCGTGGCACGCGAGACATCGTCCCTGGTAAGAGATTTGACCGTGTGGCTGCCTGTCCGTTGTGCCACTGCAGGGCATGGGAAACGGCGCCTCTCTGCTGACAGTGACGATTTGGATGCACACCCGGCGAAAAAGAGGAAAGTCGAGGAGGTAACGTCTCTTCTGATATGCACCTTGTGGACTGTTATAGTACAAGGCCAATGGTGAGTTGCACAGACCTCAGTTCCTGTAATATAACCCACTTGGAGAACAAATAGGTGTTGGTAAAAATCAGTCGGCAAGTAGGTTGTGGACTTTACCTCATATTTTCCTTTTTTAATTGAGATCTCTGTTGCAAAGAATACTTGTCTAAATGGTTTCCCACTTGTGTGATCTTCTCTGCACATTTCTTTCTGCAGCCACTTCCTGATGATGGAATCTACTGGAGGGTCAACTTTGAACGTTTCCACCAGCATTTCCACAACCAGGCCATCGTCAGTGCCGTGGCCAGCAAATTAGACAAGGTCTGGTCGAGGTATCTCCACGCTTAATCGTTATTAGGATTTTCGAACGAAAGAAGGCATATGCAGGTAGTGCATTTACAAATAGCGGCTTTAGAGCTTAAAGTTTCATTGTGGTCTTTTTTTGTGTCACTGTGAATAAGTCGCTTTTTTTAAAGTGAGGGTACGGGCGGTAGGCTCACCTGTGTACCTATTTTACAAATATCCTCCAGTAATATAATGATGTTCTAAACAACATATTAATGTATAAATGATATTCATTTAAGAACATTAATAGTTGCATTTTTTACAGATGAAAACCTACTTTAAAGGCGTAAAGAATAAATGAATTGGCAAATGAGCACTTCTGCTCATTGGAAACAAAACATGCATTGTGGATATGTGAGCAGGATGAATTGAATGAACCATGCAGGTTTTAGAAAAATTAGATTCATTACATTTTAAGTACAACCATCAATTGAAACAACGGTACCATCAAAACAATAGTGAGAGAGTTTGCAGTTGGTGTGTTTGCATGTCGGTAACGTGTGTGTGTTTATATATTAAAATTTTGTGGATATGTGAGCAGGATGAATTGAATGAACCATGCTGGTTTTAGAAAAATGAGATGCATTACATTTTAAGTACAACCATCAATTGAAACAACGGTACCATAAAAAAATAGAGATTTCCATTTAAAGCTTTCGTGACTGCAGGGATTCATCTTCTTGGTTCTTTCGGTAAAGTCACGTAGAAGGGAAGTAATAAAATAATAAAAATAAAACATAATAAAATAATTCTCACGACGTTTCGGCCACAACGCAAGCAGTCGTCCTCAGGTGAAGACCAAGTCTGTCGGGGAGACAGCATCTGACGCTGTCTCCCCTGGTCTTCACCTGAGGACGGTTGAATAGTGAGAGAGTTTGCAGTTGGTGTGTTTGCATGTCGGTAACGTGTGTGTGTTTATATATTACATTTTTTAGACAGCAGGCGAGATCGTGAGAACCATGCTGCGGATGAGTGAGTTGACGACGCCACCCAACACGGCCTTCACCCAGCTGCTCGCGTCCACCGAGGTGACCACTGCACCGCTCAGATGTCGCTCTTCCTGGTTCGTTAAACCGTGGCTTCTTGTGAACGTCCGTCTCTTATGGTCGAGAGTTCTGAAAACAAGTGCTCGTTTGCCCGTCGTGATACTTGGATGTCTGGCAGATTTTCCGGTCCCTCCCACCGGAGTATGGCATGACGAAGCCAGTGTTGGACCAGTATCTGAGTCTGCTGGCAGATGATCCGGTAAGCATCTGTCACATCCAGTTATTTTTTGCGGGTTTTATAGAGGCCTCAACACTGGTTTTTATATTGGTATTCATGAATATTTTTTTGGTATGAAAAGCTCGAAGTAGGACTTGGCCATATTTTCCATTTCAGATGGAGTTTGTGACCAAGTCTGGCGAGAGTGGAGGTGGAACATTCATTGTTAGTATCCTCTTCATGACCGTGTGGAACTTTGTGAAAGTGAGGTGCAATCCAAAGTGCTTGTTTTTATGATGTCAGAGCCAAGGAACCAGGTAACTTAACATTAACGGACAAAACGTGACAAAATTAAAGCTTGAATGTGATTGTTATCGTAGGACGTTACAAATATATGCAAAACAAAAAAATATTTTTTTGTGCATTTTAAATGCACTTTCACATGTGGCTTGTATTTTGATAATGGTCAAACACTAACTTTCTTAAGTTATAGCTGACTGCTGAATATTCCGAGTGCACATTTAATGTACTTAACTTTCCAGGGGGTTCAATTTATGAACTGTATGTTTTCCAATCATCAACTGCATTGCACAGCAATACCTACCCTTAATTCATTAACTCAATCTCAGATTTGCTAAAATCTCTGAAAACCATGGCCCGATGTACGTTGGAATCCATCGTGCAAGAAAGGTAAGACTTTGCAAAAATGTACTTATTTTTCCTTCACAGAGGCTTCAAATACGCACTTTCGTCAGGATTTGCCGTGTTGGGTGCGTTGAGGATGTCGTTTCTGCCCTCTTAGCTTGGTCGGGGCTGTGCCCCACCGCGCTCTCACCACAGGTTTGGTTCCCGGGCAGCTCGCATCTTCCGTCTGCTCCTGCAAAAGCGGCATCTGGAACAGAAGCAAGTGGAAGACTTCGCCATGATTCCGGCCAAAGAGGCCAAGGAGATGCTGTACACGATGGTCTCGCAGAACTTTGTCACTCTGCAGGTGAGTACAGGGCCCAGTTCACCGCATTGAAAAGGGTTGGGGAGCATTTTCCTTATGCTTGCTTCTTTTGGTAAAGTCACGTAGAAGGGAAATAATAAAATAATATAAATATAAAACAATAAAAAAAATATTTCTGTGGATTTCACACCTGATGATGATTGCTTGTGTTGCAGTCGAAACCTCGTGAGAATTTTTATTGTTTAATATTATTTTATTATTTCCCTTCTACGTGACTTTACTGAAAGAACCAATAATATTAATCCCTGCAGTCGGTTATATCTGCCACTGCAAGATGTACTTGCAGTGACAGAAGTGATTGATTGCGCTAAAATCTAACGCAAGTGATGCTGGGTTGAATATATTAACCTTATCCGATTAGTGCGGCTAAGATGCTTGCAGCGATAGATAATATAATGGCCATTTGCACACCGTTTTAAAATGATAGGCATCATGTGGCTATGGGCCGTATGAAATAAAGTTGCGGGCTGCATCCGGCTCGCGGGCTGCATGTCCCCGAACCCTGGCATAGACGAGCGATCGGAGATGCGCATGATCCAGCCAAGCGGGCGAGTGGTTTGACCGAGTAGCGTGCGGTCTCGTGATGGCCTCACGTTGGGCGGTCTTATCGTCTGATGTGCAGGAGATCCCTAAGGCGGCGGACTACGCGCCCGCGCGCACGTTCTACTTGTACACGGTGAACGTGGAACAGACGGCGCGGTTCATCTTGCAGAGGTGCTACAAGGTGAGGGCCCCCATCTGGACATGTAGAGCGGAGTAGGTGCTGCACTATATATGCTGCATGTTGAGCCATACATTCTCCCACCTCAAATATGTACAGACCTTTGTAAATCCACTGCAGAATGAGGGCCACTCCCACACACCATGTGGGTCGTGGGGGTAATTTAACCATACTTCACGCTGGTCAGTCGGGGGATGGTGAAGGTGGGAAACGTAGCTGTGGGACCATCGAATACATTGCCCCACAGCCTGTAACAAACAAAATACTGTGTGTAATGATAACCCATCCAGGCGCTATCCAGGCTAAACTGTGTTCAGCTTAGAAAATGATTTGGTCATTGGTCACCTCCGATATATAAGGCTCAAGTGTGAGCAAATTGTTACTTTTCGTTAGATTTTTGGCAAAAACATGCCTTTTTTTTGTTAACTATGATGTTGTAAATCTCCAAAGTGATGTGCTTCGGTCAATCTGTGAATCTGCCCCAGAGTGTGATTAATTTCACCAGTAATAACTAATTAATGTTTTTTCCCCCAGACTGTGACGAATCTTATCGCAAGACGGCACCATGAAACTAAAGAGAACAAGTGAGTGACGTTAAACCATGTGGCACAATTATTTTGGGTAAAAAAAACTAAAGTTGTGAAAATGGAGCTTGCTGTTGAAATGTAGTGGTAAGACGACCTCGTTGAATAAATTAAAAGGAGTGTATTGCCTTTCAACGTGTAAACCATAGCAGCCTGCATCTGTTCATAAGAATGTAACTATGCATTTGTTCATTGATTAAATTAAATCTACTCATTATACATGCATCAACTCATGTGTGTGAGTATTGGTTGTTTACCATTTATGCAAATCATATGCATATCGTAGATTAATGTGACATTTGGCGATATCTTATCTCCCTCGCCTGCTACACAGGAGGGTTCGACCCCGATCCTGATGCCTGTATGTTTGGAGTTGGCGTGTTCTTCCACTGTGGTCATGTGGATTTTTCTCCTGGTCCTCCGGTTTTTCCTTCCTCATTTAGAAACATACATTTATAATATTATTTCGGTCTTTTGTTATTTCTTCTATCCACGTGGCTTTACCGAAAGACGTAAAGAATAGGAATTCCTGCAGTCACAAAAGCTTTAAGTCAAGATTTATACATTTAGAATGTTTCGCCTTCTATAAATTCCCACATATGACAATAAGCCACTTTATTGAGCTATTACATGTGGCCAGGTCGCCGCTGAAATAGCCCTTAGCTGAGTGGGCTTTACTTGGTTTAAAAACATTGTCTAACGGAGCAAATAAACTAAACACAGAACAAATGAGAAACAACAAACGAGACTATGACAATGAGACCATTGAAATGCACCTCGGAATTGCGACAATTCTTCAAATAGCTTGCATTTAGGCGGGGATGGTGGTGGGGGGTGGGGGGTGAAACATTCCACGCCCTATCTTGCTGCTGCATCATCTGCCGTGCGCTCCACACCCACAGACGCCTCTTGGAGAAGGCCCAGCGCATCGAGGCGATCCTAGCATCGGTGCAGGCGTCTGGTGCCGACGAGGCCCAGCTTCAGGAGATCGAGGAGATGATCACAGCCACCGAGCGCCAGCAGCTGGAAAATCTCAAGCGCACCGTCAACAAGTAAGGGGGGGGTGGGAGGGGGGGCAGTCCCAGGCATGGCAAGATAGAATGGGTGGTCGGGTGTGGGTAGGGTGACTAAGTAACTAACTAACTAAGTACCATGCAGGCTGCAGAATTTGTGATGGTTGGCCGAGGCCTGGTTCTTTGTTTCCCCTGCTAAGATGAAAAAAATATTACTTTTTATTTGATCAGGTAAGGCCCACTCAGCTATATAGCTCTTATTCAGAAGCAACCTGGCCACAAATGATAGCTCATAGTTGCTCATTGTGTCGCAGCTTCTAGCACCCAAATACTCGAAATGCACGTTTCTAAATGTGGAGGGAAAAACCGGAGGACCCGGAGAAATATCTTCGTGGCCATGGGGAGCACATGCAAACTCCAAATATACAGGCATCAGGGTTGGGATCCAATCCATGAGCCAAAAGAGAGAAAGCATTTCGATTTCCTTAGGTGGCCAGGTCAGAATGCTGATCAGGCACTACTGAGAAGCAAAGTTTGAATCCAGTCTATTGGATTCTGTGAGTTGATGGTGATTTAACTGGGTTCTCAAGTGTAGTAGTGAGTTGATGTTCTCAGCCTGGTCACCAATGACTGCACGTAAAACCCATTCCATTCAAATTGGTTCTGCACTTTAACACATTTTCAGCTCTGAGAATCGAAAATATCAATCATACAAATAAAATATACAGATATTTATCAGTCATGCAACGACCATTACTCTCATTTGGAAGTGTGTGTGGGAATGTGCTGCCCTAATGTGTAGACCAGAAGCCACTTGCAGAGATCTCAGATGCAGTTCTGCAACATTTGCTTCAATGAGCCGATCCATTTTATGAGGGGTTGCGTACTGCTCTGTGAGAGATTCAAATGGATGCTTCGTCGAATGAGATGACACCTAAAATCGCAAAAACAAGATAACATTGGGAACAAAGACAGTGTTTCTTTTTTTTAACATGCTCATTATTATTTTCAGTTTGAACATGGGAACGTGCACTGGGCAATTGGGACCAATTGGAACCAACCGTTCTCATCTCCAATTTGCACGGTTCTGTGTATTTACATTGGATTTCTTCTGCACCGTACGTAACCAACTGTGCTAATCGGAGGTGTGGGGGAAAGACAACAAACTAAACTCAAAAACATTTATAAAGAAATGAGTTTTCAATCTAGTAAATTCGTTTTAAAGCTAGGTGCGAGAGAAGTTCAACATACATACATACATTGGGCTGAGATACGATGCGCTTGAGCTGCGCTGGGCCCTCTGTCACTGCTGTGGCCTCTCCCGTTTAAGTAAATAAAGTCTGACAAATCCAGCTTATTACAATTCTAGTTTCGTAGACAAATGATCGCATGCTACATTTACGTTTGCCTTCTGTGACAGTTCAGCTTCCAGCATGCTGTACTATTTGTCATTTTACAGATCTTATGGAGCTCTTATTGAATACATCTTGATATGTGAAGTGAAATCAGGTGTCAAATAACAAAGCTCTTGGGACTGTGAATGTCTTGCGTTTAATGGGAATGGAATTTGGCCGAGAGTGAGCGTGGACGCGTCGCTCCCCGTGCGCTACATGCAGGCTCGACAAGAGTGAGATGCAGGTGGACGAGACCGTCTTCCTGCTGGAGACATTCCTGCAGGCATCACGGCCGCAGTGACCGCTACGTACTCCAGGGACCCGTGCTGTTTCAAGCCCCCGCGTCGACTCCTGCAAGTTGAGAAGTGGAGAATTCTGTCAACACGTGTTGTAACGTTTCCGAAGGCCAACAGAATCTCGGTCAACACCCAAATACATCTTGCCGCACGTTGCACCTGCTCAATAATATCTGTTGAAAAAAAAATACACAAAAGGTAGTATTCTGAAGTTTGCAACGCTTCCGCTGAGAGAGACTTAATTCAGGCAAACCCAGCTGACTGATGGTTTGTTTGAGTTTGGGAGTTTCTGTAAAAGTCTTACAAAATTTTGAAATTTACACTCCCGTGGGCTGATATTTGCCAGGAAGCATGCACGGCCCCACGCCCTTCCTGCCGCGCTGCAATATTTGCTTTGGAGGACCCCGCTAAGGCCCGCGGTGGTGCTGCTAACGGCCCGCATCCCGCTCGACATCCCCTTGAGTGCCATCTCAAAAATAGGAAAGTGGCAATATTTGATTGAATTTTTTTATTAATGTAAAAGGTGGTGTTGGCAGGGGTGGAGGAACGCTTTGGCACTGTTTCCCGGCCAAACTCTTTTGTCTTTTGTTAATGTTTTAGTCTTGAGACGTCACATCGCAAAATGTGGTCTCTCACAAGTCACGCTCGTTTGCCTTTCCCTTCTGTGTATCTGCTCTAAAGAAAGGCCATTGTCCACTCTGTTAGCTTGCCATTTTCTCAGTTGAAAAAGCATCTCTAACGATAACTGCGGTGTAATATTTCAGGGCTGGTACTGTGTGACAGGTGTCGGTTGCGTTCACGGCCATGGCAGCATTTGTGAAAATCGTACAACCGAACAAAGCTTAGCCCTGAATTGTTTTTTTTTGGTTCACATTCACTCGGCATGTGCTTCTCCGTCCGAAAGCGGACGTCTACAATTGGAATTTACGCAGCGTAAAAAATAATGTTGGCCAGTGGTCGAAACAAATAACAGTGTGGCAGCCAAAGGAGTGAACACATACTGCACACCACAGAAGTGGAGCAATGAATGGCTCCATACTCTTAGGTTTTTTCGGTAAAGTCACGTCGGTAAAAAATAAAATTAAAGGTTAATAAAAGTAATAATGGAAATAAAATAAAATAATAAATCACGACGTTTCAGAGGCAACACAAGTCTCCGTCATCAGGTGGGACGGTCACAGCTAAAATTACTGCATCAAGTATTTTATTTCCATTATTACTTTTATTAACTTTTAAAATAATTTTTTACCTACGTGACTTTACCGAAAGAACCTAAGAGTATGAATCTTTGCAGTCACGAAAGCTTCAAATCTAGAATGAATGACTCGTGTGCAGGCTCGATGGACTGTTGCATCGTGAGACCATGAGAGATGGTAGTGGTAGCTTCGGGATTCCTTAATACAGCAGTGGACGGGTCGCGGCTGCTTGCCGGTGATTGGTGTATATCATGTAGCTCTCAACATTTCAGGTTGAACTTTGCTGATAATTTAATGGTACACTGGAACATAAACTTTCCTGCCCCAGGGTGAAAGAAAAAAAACCCAAAATGTTTCCTGTTACTTTTTGCGAATAAAACTGAAAATACGTTAATTAATTGTCTGTACATTTGCAAATCTATTTTAAAACATGTAAGGTCGAAGAGCCTTCAAACACTTTGACGGTGTGCCTTCGTACACTTGGCGTATGCTAATACTCTGCACAGACACGTGAACAGGTTGTGCAGAATGTCCTGTTACCCCCCCCCCCATCTTCGAGGTAACTCATGAATATAAATAAGTAACACGGTATGATTGAATGTAATTGGTACTGTGTGAATATTCAAAGAAGATAGGTGAATTTCACAACTGCACCGTCGCAACATTCACCGCTTTCACTTTCAATTATTGTGTAGGTCAGTGTGTGGCACCATCATTCATCTGACAAAGGATAACCATGCACCATTGTGACATTTTACGTAACGTTTTATCCATTGTCACCACCTGTTGTCCCGTGTGTGATTATTCAACTTCATCCGGTGATTGCGGCCAAACAACACCTTAGGAAGACAAGAACAAGCCACCTCGACCTTCCTTCCCTATCGCTTAAGAACTCGAGTGTGGCGAAGAGGGGGGAGAGGCATCAGATGGGATGGAGGGGAAGCATTTGTCACGGACATGTTCTCGGGCAGAGAACTTAAGATAAATATTACCTGTATCAATATAACGACTAAACCAGCCGGACACAAATTGATGTAACTTGGGGGGTGACTGGACATTGTTGACACTGCACATAGTACAAAGTTTAGAGTGTCAGAACTCCAAATTGTGAGTTGTGAGTTCAGATTGTAGCATGGTTGACTTTGATTAGAGAAAGAAAAAGGGGCAGTCTTTTTTCTTTTTACCCTCGACTGCATCCAGTGGCGTTGCATGGTTGACATGAACCCTCTGTCCAATTTCCCCTCCCTCTTGGTTGCCTGGCATCTGCGCCTCCTCCGGTATTGTGGGCCCCTGTGCAGTTGCACCTCCTGCACACTCGATAGCGCTGCCAGTGCATCAAACCCACACGAGGGTTGGTAAAATAACGATGACGCTGCACATAGAAGTAAACGGTAATTATCCCATGTGTTGTATGGACTGGCCAAAGGTACGTGTAATTTCCATATTTGGTTCTGGACCACGAATTAAGATATATGAGTGACTGGCATTAAATCGCCTTAATAATCATGCCCTTTACCCAGGAGAACCTAACTGAGCATGAAGACGCCTTTTAAGGTGTGCGCGGCATTGGTAAGCTTGGCCAGTTGCCATTAATGAGTGCCATGTGGGAAAATATCGGAGTATCCAGAGAACTCCACGCATACGAGGGATCGCACACACAGCACTGCCACATCGGAAAGACCCCGCATAACTAGTAATAATGTCGGCGTTAATCGTCTTGAGGTGCAGTCCAAATTGAGCACTGAAAAAGTGCGAATCGTAGCAAATATATATTTTTGAAAACGGGTTTCAACTATTCCTCAAACTGTACTGTCAACCTTTTCTATGACACGGACATAATATTATCGTTTCCACTGTAATGTTATTTCCAAGTTGCAATTGATTCACAATTCCTTTGTCAATCCACTGCTGGATGAAGTCCTCCCCACAACGTGCCGGCCAGGGGGGCTTGTTTGGCCATACTTGACCACAATGGGCAGTGGACACCAGGATCGCTTCACATACGGTATGACTTGAGCCAGCGATGTTAGCCGCGGCCGGGAATCGAACTCAGTCGCCAGCTTCACAGCGCGCAGCGTAAACCACGGCGCCACAGCTGCTCTGGATTTTGCGTTAACGACGTCAATCTTCGGTATTAGTCGAGCTTACATTGCCATTAAATCACGTACACAGGGTGGCCACTGTGAGAAGGCTACCACCACCCGTCTGGCGGGCCCAGAGTTCTTCATTGTGAGGCCCCCACGACAAGACAACACGTGAAAACACCCCTCCCCCCGCCAACCCCCAATGGTTTCAAATGGTGTGGCGACCCTCAACATTGATGATGTCTCGTCGGCGAAAGTGCCCCCCCCCCCCACCTCTGAAAACGAGTGCAAGAACACCGGTCTGGACCACTGCAGCCTGCTGTTTCTTCAACGGAGGAGGAATAAATAGCAACACTACGCACAATCTCTCTCACTCTGCTGAAGCCCTCTCATGGCAAGGAGCAGAGGTGGGACAAAGTCATTGTTATGCAAGTCCAAGTCGAGTCTGAAGTCATCAAATTCATGACTCGAGTCTGACTTGAGTCCAAGTCACATGACTCGAGTCCACACCTCAGAGGTGGGACAAAGTCATTGTTATGCAAGTCCAAGTCGAGTCTGAAGTCATCAAATTCATGACTCGAGTCTGACTTGAGTCCAAGTCACATGACTCGAGTCCACACCTCAGAGGTGGGACAAAGTCATTGTTATGCAAGTCCAAGTCGAGTCTGAAGTCATCAAATTCATGACTCGAGTCTGACTCGAGTCCAAGTCACATGACTCGAGTCCACACCTCAGAGGTGGGACAAAGTCATTGTTATGCAAGTCCAAGTCGAGTCTGAAGTCATCAAATTCATGACTCGAGTCTGACTCGAGTCCAAGTCACATGACTCGAGTCCACACCTCAGAGGTGGGACAAAGTCATTGTTATGCAAGTCCAAGTCGAGTCTGAAGTCATCAAATTCATGACTCGAGTCTGACTCGAGTCCAAGTCACATGACTCGAGTCCACACCTCAGAGGTGGGACAAAGTCATTGTTATGCAAGTCCAAGTCGAGTCTGAAGTCATCAAATTCATGACTCGAGTCTGACTCGAGTCCAAGTCACATGACTCGAGTCCACACCTCTGGCAAGGAGACCTCTCGAAACGTTGGCAACCGGCTCCTGAAGGTGTCACGACTCCCGCTTGTCGCGCCCGAGATTTCACGGCGAGATAAATTCTCCGTGACGCCGCGCGGTGGCACCACCATATCGTATGTACCGAGCAGTGATAATGAAATGAAAAAAATAAATGTGGTGGGTGGGTGGGTGGGGTGGTGGGGGGTGCGGACCAAAATCACTTCCCAAGGCGCAAGAGCTGTTTAACTCACCCGGCCAGCCATAGCCATGGCGCGTAATGCTAAACAAACAGGCCCTCTTCTTTTCTTACATCTTTGAAATATTTCCGACAGCTGCCGTAGAGAGAACAAGTTGGGGTGGGGTGGGTGGGTGGGTGGGGGGGGCCCGTAGAGAGGGCCTCATTGGTGGGGTTGGGGTTGTGGCGTTGTGGGTGGGTGAAACAGAGAGGGCTTGGAAAAGTTGTTGAGATTTCGGGTAGATTTATGTTCACCGCAAGAAAAAAAAAATCTTACAGGTCACCGGTTAAAACACGCGGGGCATCGCGGACAAACGGTGGGGTGGGTGGTGGGGGGGGGGGGAGAGGAGGTGGGGGCCCACGGTGGAGGCGTTGAACCCTTGAGTTCCGTGGCCAGTTGCATACAATTCCTTAAGGGGAATGTGTCCCCTTAGTTGACACTGATTTACATTGCCAACCGAAAAGAGGGAGGGGGAGGGGGATATCACTTAAAATTATTTATGCAAGCGACCCACGGCACTTCTCAAACTTCTCTCCTCTGTCCTCGAGACGTCCTCCACGTTTAACTTTTATACACGTGCGGGTACAGGCAGCCCCCCGATGTCAATCCACTGCTGGATGAAGGCCTCCTCCGCACGCCTTGACGGAGGGCATGGGGGTTATTGGACCGTACTGAACCACTCTGGTTCGTGGGGGTTGGTGAAGGGTGGGGGAGCTTACACGCGGGACCATAGAAGTACAGCACAGCAATGGATGTAGCTGCACTAACCTCTGTTGCCCACCACGTAGCTCCGCCGCCGCCAATGACTCACTGGCGTGTGCGCATGGCGGTCACCCATCCACTCTCCAAAGTAAAGTCACGTTGGTAAAAAATTAAATTAATAAAAGTAATAATAGAAATACAATAATAAATCACGACGTTTCGGAGGCAACACAAGTCTCCGTCATCAGGTGGGACCGTCACAGCTAAATTTACTGCATCAGTAAATCAGCCTAAGAGTATGAATCCTTGCAGTCACGAAAGCTTCAAATCTAGAATCATTCTCCAAAGGTTCATTGCTGCTGAGAGCTTTCGAGATCTGACGGAATCGTTCGCCTTATTCCGCACCTGCGATTAGCACGTTTGCCTCCGTAATGGTGTCAAAGAAGTTCTACGTGCATACCGTGTATGCCGCGTTCTGTATGTGTGTAAGACAACTTCAAAGTACTCTCCACGCAGAACGCCTTCGCTGTTTTTTCTTCCGTTCAAATGCAAATGAGAAAGCTACGCACCGTCCGCGCACGATGATTGCTAAAGGCGTCTCGTGTGACGCAGGGCGCCCCGATTTAACACCCAAGAGGAGATATTTCGCGTGTGTACAGTCCATGTGTGTGTGTCCGCGTGTTTCCCATATGACGTGGGTGATGCCCTAAATTATGGAGATGTCGTTATTTTAGTGACGCAATTATGATTCATATGTAACAACTGTGACTCAAACTCAGACGTACCGTCACGCGACGCGAGTCTACGGATCTTCTTGTGGGGAAGAGCAGGTTTTTAACAATGCAGTGACAGAGATACATTACATTCGTTTGTAAGTTTAGAGAACGCCCCGTCTCATAGGGCTCATTTGCATGTGACGCATCGGAATGTCACTTGGCGATTATGCTATATATAAACGCTCTTTAATGCATGGATTACCACACACCCACATGCAGACTTACGCAATTGGATTTTCAACACGTGCAATCCAAAGCACTAAAGCGTCATGCTGAGTCTTAAATTAATTTTGAAGAATAAACTCCTCACGAAAGGTCAGCAGTGGACTGATCATGGCTGATGACGACGGAAATAAAAGTTCACATTGCATTGGGTTTGTCTGACCTTCTTAGGTGATTCGTCCTCTCAACACTTTCGACAGCCCTTCTCTAGATTGTTTATATTCTGTGACATCGTGAAAAGTTAGTCGGCGGGCATGAGTAAAAGCCGATTTTTCAGAAGAATTTGACATTGAACCAATTGTGCGCTTGAATCACGTTTTAAAGAGATCCCCGGGTGTCATGAGGTCATGTTTGAGCAAAAAATTGAACGATCCTCAAAGCTGGGCTTGCGCCTAATTAAAGTACCCACTGAACTGCGAGGTGGCCGGAAGACGGTAGTATAATACACGTGTTCGTGTACTCATCTGTGTGGACTTTTACAGAATTTCTTTGAGATTATTTTGGCCAAAAATCCCAATGCAGGACCCTCCTAAAAACAAACCTCAGCAAAGGCTTTCTGGGCAACGGTCATTATTGTTGTTAACATGACAATTATACATTTAATAAAAACCAACCCGTAGAATAATTTAAGACCAGGCTGAGACCACCAACTCGCTACAATTGAGAACCTAGTTTATTCACGTGTGGCTGAAACCTACATTCGAACCCAAGGGTCTCAACGGTGTGTGCTCAATGCCCGGAACGCTATGAGCTTCAGGACCAATCCGGCCTCGTTTAATGTGATTTCTTTTCTGGATAGCACACGGTGAGGGTGGACGCACGCTGTTGTTGTTGTAAGGTCATTGTTATTGTTTATCAATTATAACAGGCGCGTATAGCGCGTTATTAGCAGATCCCTAAAAGTACGTTTGCACACACGTCGCCTGTGTAAACGTAACAGAAGCACCTCCGATCAGCACGGCTGGCTATGTACTGTGCGAAAGAGGTTCAACATACAGCTGAAATCTCTCATCGTGAGTCTCAGGACTTTTTCAGAGAGGGTGCTGCATGAAGCTGTTTGGCCAGTTCCTTTTCGAGTCTTTTAGCGTGATGCAAAAATAAAATATACCCAGAGAAGCCCCACATATACGAGGCAAGAACGCTATACAATCCGTAATCCGTCGGAAACCGACTCGCCATGCTGCCATCTATTACCCACCATGCACCCCTACATTCTAGGCGTCTTGCGCGCGCGCAAATAATTCTCTCGCTGACCCACCAACCCCCACTCTTTACAAATCTCTGGGTCGCGGACGTTCATCGCCACCAGCATAGCCCCGGTCACTGCACGACGATTCCTCTGCACTCGTTACAGCAGCGCAGTGGAGGAGGAGCGGGCCTCGGGCACGAAGCCAGCACTCGTGAATCGGAAGTGTTCGTTTGGCTCTCTCCAGGGCCAGATTTCGGGGGAGCGAGGAAGGGAGCAAAACGGGACATTCGTCCAGGACCAAATTACTCCACGCACACAGAGAGAGAGAGAGAGACACGAAAAATCGTATTTTTAACCAAGAGAACTACGACTGTTTATTCATATTATCGCTTGTATTTACATGAACAAAATAAACAATACTACCTCTATTGGAGTGCGTCCCAGGAGCGATAGTTTGGAAGAGGCAGGGAAGGGTTCGAGGTGGGGGAAGGCAAGGAGCGGGATTGGGGGAGGGGGGGTCTTTTCTGCTCAGTTGTTCCAGGGGCATGGAGATCCAGACCCGAAACCTGGCTTCTTCACTCACACACAGAGACACATTTCATTTGGCAGCTGGCAACTTCCAGCGGTTACTGACGAGAAAAACAGGGGGAACATAAAGAGAGGGCGGGGGCGTGGGACCCTGTTAATATAGAAAAGAGAGAACCCATATCCCACAAGTTCCACGTGGGATGAGACTCTACGTGCTGATTCGGAGATCACGCTGTCGACTGGGCAATCACTGTGGTATCTGGCAGCAGAAGGAAGGCAGCGATGGCGAGGCGCGGTGGTGTGAATGACAACTGGCCGCAATGAGCTCCCTTAACTTGAACTTGAGCGCCTATCCAGCCACCCCGAGGAGCTGCCACTGAATGGGGGACGGGGGTGGGGGGGGGAACGGGGGGTGGTATTCTGCTGGTTCCTATCATTCAGTGGGGAGTACGTCTCCCACGGCTCACCTCATTGGGTGACATACATCTGAGGAAGGAACAGGCATTGTGTTATCGCCTGAATGGACATGGATTCCACATTTGATCTAACTGGCATTGCTCAGGAATAATAAATACATCAATAAATATTCCGCTCGTGGTCTGCTCTGCAAGGGAAGTGATGAATGGGCAATCGCCTCTCAACAATGCCCGAGAGTGGCCTGCTCGGTGATTCGGACACCGCAGGACGATCCCCGACCACGCGAGTTCAATTCAGGGGCTTACATCGGCGGCTACGGGTGTGATTTCATGAATCGCGTACGCACGGGCGTGGCATGCACGCGCCGCCTAAGGCTACACGTGCCCAGGTATGCAGACGCTACGTCGCAAAGCGCGCGGTCGCATTTGTATTGTAGTGAGTGCCCGCTGACGTGAGGATACGGTTCGCGCGGAGTGCCACTGCTGCTGTTTCCTTCTGAAGCTACGGGCGGCTCCTCCAACCCACGAGGCGCGGCCAGGGGGGTGGGTGGGGAGGTGGTGGGAGGTGGTGGGAGATGGGACGGGAGGAGGAGGGGGAGCTGGAGGGAGAGACAGAGAGAGAGAGAGAGAGGGGGGTGGAGAGGCATGGGGGCGCGCGCGCGGGCGTGTGCGCGTGTGTGGCAGGGGGAAAGGTGGCGCACACGACAAGGTTACGGGACGGTGCGCGCTGCGTGTAAACTTCTGTCGCCAAAGTGACGAGTGACTCAACTTGACGGAATCGACAGTGCGCGGATATCAAGCGAAACCCGACAAAGCGACAGAATGAAAGAATCGGGGTGGGAACGAGAGGGGGACGGAGAGGGGGAGGAAGATGAGAAGAGAGAGAGAGAGCGCGTTGCTCGACCGCCCACTTAGTAGGATCTCACCCCCCCCCCCCCTCCACCACCTCCTCATCCATGCACCACCACCATCCGAGGCTTCCATCCCACGACCCAACCAGCTGCCCCCACCTCTATACCCCCCCACATCCCCCTCCACCCCGCCCCTGCCATCAGCCGCCTCACCCCCCCCCCCACCACTCCCCCCGCCCCCACTTCCATGCTACAAGCACGTAGCCACCCAAACCGCCCCCCCCGCGCAGCCCCCCCCCCCCCCCGCGCAGCCCCCCCCCCTCTTCTCTCATGGGGGGGGGGGGGGGTGCCGTGCAGGGTGCCGGCACGGAGCCTCCTGTGCCCGGACCGGGGTCCACTGCGTCACGGCGAGGCCGCGCCTATAAAAGCAGCGGAGCGCGAGAGAGGCGCCCAGTGAGACACATCCCGGGGCCGCGGGACGCACGGGCAACACGCAGACAAGAGACAGAGAGAGAGAGAGACAGAGAGAGAGAGAGACACGCGGGGAGTTGGAGAGACACGCGCGGGCAGCCAGAGAGACGTCGAGCGAACCCAGCGGTGGAGACGCAGAGAGGCGAGCGGGCAGTCGACCTAGGGGCAGGCAGAAACGCGCAGACATCGACGGAGAAGGCACGCAGACGGACAAACGGACGCACGGATAGACAGAAAGACACACAGGCAGGCAAAACCAACGAAGCAAACGGGGGCATAGGCAACCAGCAGTAGAAACAGGCAACAAGCAGGGGGAAGAAATACACACCTACACAGACAGACACGGGCAGAAGAAGCGCACGCAAATCAGCAAAACATCCAAACACACTGGGCAGCTATTGAGCCAGCTGGCAGGGCAGCGAGTCAGCTGGCAGACTGGGCAGCTACTCGGAGAGGCGGCAGACGAGCGATCGAGAGTGAGCTGTCGAGAGAGAGAGAGACAGAGCCTAGAGGCTGCTACTGGGCAAGAACTTTGAGGCGTGGTAGATTGTGGCAGCAGAAACACGCGCCGATTGCAGCCACAGAGAGAAGAAAGGGCGATAGTCGATAGAACTTAAATAAAAAACACAAAAGTAATCAACTTATCCGAGATATATGAGATAGTTTAACGAACGCACGTAAAAAGAAAGCAGTCCATATACATATATAGACTGTGTGTGAGGTGTTGTCCACGCAGGCTTGGGCATAACTTGTGACAGGTGGGCAGGGAGGCAGAGCTCAGCTTCCACACGCGGGGCGCGAGAACAGATTACATCGCACCAATAAATTATTGTAACAATAGTAACACTGAGAACCCCCCCCCTCCTCCCAAACATCACAACGGTGCACCACCACCACTCCTAGTACCAGCAGCACCATCACCACGATCATCGTCAATTCGACCACCAGCAACAGCAGCGCGACCACCCAAGCAGCATAAGTAACAGCAGCAGTAGCAGCAGCAGCAGCAAAGGGCTGCTGCATTAGTAGCAGCAGCAGCAGCAGAATGTCGCGCCACTGTGGAGTACCGCTGAAGACGCTGCTGTTTCTCGCCACGCTGTGTCAGCTGATGCTGGAGACGCCCGTTCGAGGTAAGAAGTGAGGGCTCCTTTAGACGAGGAGAGGTCACGGTGGCCTGGGCAATGGGAGTCAGGGTGACCTCGGTCATTGTTGAATCGGGGGTAACCCTGAAGCAAGGGTGATCTGGGTCAGTGAGATCCTGGTGGCCCGTGTCGGATGAGGTCACGGTGGCCTGGGTTGGGAGGTCACGGTGACTCGAGTATAAGTCGATCTCAGAGAGGAGTGGGACGGGGTTGGCCCGGGTCGACATATCCATGGAGCAATGACCACGACAGGGGAAGGAAACTGGTCATTCCTAATTCTATTGTAATTGATATTGTACCATAATTGTTGAATCCAATGGTCTGAGCACCTATCGTTTGTACTCGCAAGGTGTTTGACCTTTCATAATCACTGCCCGTAGCAGTGAGATAGTCATTCTACTTGCAAATGATCATGCCTACCCAGTACTGAATATGCGCGTGTTGGTGTCGCGCAGTGGTTAGCGTTACTGCGTCACGAACTGGGCGAGCCGAGTTCGATTCCCGGCCACGGCTAATACTAGTGGCTGGCTGTTGGTATCTGAACTGGTGCTGGGGTCACTGCCTGGTGGAGGTATGGTCAAACAACCCCTCGTGACCGATACGATACAAGGTGGAGAAGCATTCATCCAGGAGTGGAAAGATATTGTATGATGATGATGATGATGATAAGAGTAGTTTGAAAACTCACATTTTGAAGGTTTCGTGATTCTGATGACGTTTTATTATTTAATGTGACCAAACAATCGAAATATTTCGCAATCGTTCCTGCGCTTGCCACCGGAGATGGCCAAGCCATCGAACGAGAGAGTCAATTCGCAAACAAAAATCTGAAAATATCCTCCACTAATTAAGGGGTAAGTGTACTCATTAAAAAACAAATCTTCAACTCATAGTGTTGGCTAAGTGTGGGGAAGAGTGAGTTGTAACAATGTTACACTGCTATCCCGTCCTGATAACATGAACCCTCTATAACTCGAGCTCGTGAAATCTATTCCAAAAATCTGAATCCAATACCCGATGTGTCATAATACGAATACTATAATCATAGCGATAAAAGCCTGCCCCTATTACTCAATGTACCTCGAGCAGAACGTCTCTAACCGTGTTACTGTAGGTCTGTACCGCCGGTCCTTTAACTCTCACCATAGGACCCAAGTTATTTAACTCAAGCGCTTTAAACCTAATCCTATAACATTAGCCCTGTAATCCCAGCCCCGTGACTCTAACCCTATACCTCTCACCCTAGCCGTGTAACCCTATAACTTTAATCCCATATACATATAGAACTGCGAATACATAACCCTATAACTTCAGCTCGATAACTCATCCTCAGCCATCATCGATCCACTGCTGGATGAATGTCTTTCCAAGATGTTGCCATCTCTCACGATCCTGCAATGTAATGTAACTCCATCACTTATCATAGTCATAGAACTCTAGTCATATTCCTCTAACTTTCTGACCATATAATGCAAGCCCTATAACTCGCACTAACCCTATAACACTAAATCGCATAACCTTGTTCGCTATTCCTATTCATTCTTAAATTATAACTCGACAAATAGGACCCTGTTCCTCTAAACTCAGGGCCATGACCATGTCTCTAACCATATAACCCCATAACGGTGATTCTATAAACCATATACATCTTACCCTATACAAATAACCATATCACTAATCCTATTAAACATATAACTCTCACTATATAAATATAACCTTACAACTCTCACCCTATAACTCTATTTCTATGAACCCTATAATTCTAACTCTATAAACATAACCCTATACCTCTAAGCCTATATATCTTACCATATCCCTCTAACCCCTTAACCCCTATAGCCCTACCCCATCACCACGCAGCCCTCTCCTCCCTACTCCTCCTCCCCATCGGCACGGCACGGCTCGGCTCGGCACGGCTCGTTCCGTGTAATGACCCGTGCCCCGCGTTAATCACGAAACCCAAGCAGCGCGCGGACAGACGCGCGGGGCCAATGCACCGCGCCTGTTGGGGTCGCGGATTCCAGACGAGGGGAGGAACACAAAAACAAAAAACCGCAACAACAACAGCAACCGGCCACGCACACTGCCACTCACGCACTATTACAGCCATCAGTATTGTCGTCGTCGAGAGAGACACACACGCAGAGACGTGGTCTATCCACTGCTTAATGAAGTCCCCCCACACCCACCCTACCCTTTCACCTTTCCATCCCCCACGCCACGCGTAGTCGCCATCCCTCACGAACCTGCGATGGCAGCAGACTCCACCGCGAGGCTTCCTCCTCCGCGTGAGCTCATCCCATCGCTCCATCTCAACATTGTGCACAAATAAACCGTGGTCACGATCGTCGTGAACTTCTTTCGCGCCGTACGTAGCCAGGCGTGCTAATCGGAGGCGCGGGGATAGCAGCAAAAATAAATAAACACAAAGAAGCAGTTCTAAAGAAATTCGTTTTCAATCTCGATTCAACGTCGTCGTTATCACGAGCCAGGGTCTATTCACTGCTGAATGATGGCATCCCCATTTACACCATAACTTCAGTTTTGAGGGTCCGATTTTCCAAAGACCTTGAGTCTCCAGTTAAGACATGGGCTCTCTTAATGATTTGCTTGCAATTGGTCAGATTTATAGACCTTCTAGAACATTCTTACACGCGTGCATCGCGATTGTCTGCGTACTTTATAGAAAAATAACATTTGCGGTTATGAGTGTGCATTTTTGTATTTACATTGCGTGAGCGTCGTTGGTTGGCCACTTGCATCCAATTACGGGCCACGGCTAACATCCAGTGGCAAGTAATATCAGAAGCTGTCTTGGGGTTTCCCGAGGTCAAAGTAACCTTCTATAAGTAACCCACGTGGTGCGCAAACATCACAGCAGTGTGGAGGCAGAGGTGGTCGGGCGTGGTGTTTCGCCACGCCAGACACTCGTGTGCCGCGCAGGCCTTAATAGGCGCTCGCTGACAGCACTTGTCCCAAGCGTTTATGTCGGCTATACGGGGGTTCTTTGTGTGTGTGTGTCTCTATGATTGTGATGAGAACTTAGGTCTAATTTATCAGCCGTTAGGGATGAAACGATGTGTCGATTAATCGACGACAGACGCATCGAAACGCGTGCTTAAAAAAAAGTCATCGGTGTTGTTAGATTGAGATACATTTGAACCCAATGCTTCACGTGACCCTCTCCGGCCACTAGAGGCCGCTACATTCACCTCAATGGGGGGAAAAAGAATGATTTGATCACATAGGTGGACCGAACCGCCAGTCTTCGAATAGACAGGGTTTTTTTCTCTCTTACTTAGAAAGTACGGACTCGCACCGCGCGCTTAGAGGGCACCTCGCGTGTTGCACCGTCCCATTAAAAAAATTGCGCTCGTTTAGTCTGACGAACTGTCTGGGGGACACGTGTTGTCAGCGAGCACCTATTAAGCACCGGCTTCCCGTGAATGTGCAACCGTCACACCGAGGTCGCCGCTTCGCTTGTGTTCACACACCGCAACAGATCATCATCATCACCATCATCATCACGATCCATGGGCAAGATAGCACGTTTGTTTCCACTTTCCTCTGTCGTGTGCCAATACGCCTCAAGCAGTGCAACATCTGTCTGGCACCAAATCTCTGATGTCGTCGTCTGTTAGGCCTTCCCTCCCGCGGCAGGTACCAACTCGTTTTAAGGCCGAGTGACACAGTGGTTCGTGATTGTGAATGAACCCCGGGGAATCGAATCGCGCACTACGCTTGCGATGCACGCACACGCAGGCCACCGGTGAAGACTCTATATGGGCAAGTGCTGTTAACGAGCACCTATTAAGGCCGGTTTAGCGCACGAGAGGGCGGTGTGGGCACAACGCCCGACCGCCTTTGTCTTACTAATTACGTTTTTTTTACCAACCCGTTTTGAAGCCGAGTCAACAAGGGATTTAGAAACCCCTTCCCACTGGTGTTGTGTTTTCGCCGAAAAATCGAAACTTTGTCCGCCGGGATCGTTGCGCGGTGCGCAAACACACACACACACACACGCGCGCGCGCGCGCACGTGTGCACTCTATCACACACACGTGCATGCACTTATCCATGCGCCGATACGAACACTCAAATAAACGCCCACACACACACACCCATACGTACAAACACGTGCACACAAACCCATATTTACAGACACGCACACGCAAAGACATACCCACACGCATATAAACGCATATGCAGTACACGGAACCGTACGTACGCACATACACACATACACACGCACACAGAAAAGACAAAGATCCCCAGTGTTGCCTACATAGACTGTTGGGGCACGCGCACACACATACACAAATACAAACTGACAAACGCACCGACACACACACACGAGAAGCAGCGTCAATGGAGATGGAAATCCAGGGCAATTGTCAGAACCGCGCACGCACAGAAGCACGCTCCTCTACACGTACAGACCCCCCCCCCCGCCATGCACACGCACACCTTGATACACACAACCATACGCACAATCCCACAGAAATACATACACACATCTCTAAGCGCGCGCGCACACACAAACACCCACGCACACAAGTTCCATACGCACACATAAGCAAAGACAGAGACTCCCCGTACGGCCTTAGAAGACTTGTTGGGGCATGTGATTGTAGCGAGCACCAATGAAGGCCGGCACGGCGCAACGAGGGGTTGGGTGGCCAGCCCAACGCCGGGTCGCTTTTGTCTCCCTAGCGACGATGTTTTACACACCTCACACTCACCTAACCAAAGCCCATAATCACACAAACCCACATACACACACACACAGCGCACGCGCGCGCGTGCAACACGATAGGCTAAGTAGGGTGAACGAGATGGAAACGCAGGGAGTGTTCGTACAGCACACACACACACACGCGCACGTGCACGTGCACACACGCGCACACGTACAGGGGGGGACGAGAGGCTAGGCAGGGTGAATGAGATAAACGCGCGCAGCGAACGCAGCGGAGAGCGTCGCAGATCCGCGCGCGCGTAAACATCGCGGCGGCGGTCGCTGTGAACGCCACTCGAGTCTCAAGCGGCGAGTGCGAGCCGCTCAACACGCGTCTATAAATACCGCAACCCAACAACCCTCCACCACCCCCGCCCCCTCCACTTCGGGGACTCTGAAACACACACACAAACATACATACACACACGCGCGCATACGAAATAAAGTACAAAGCTCCTCCGTATAGCCTTTAACAGACTGCTGGGGGAAAGTGTTGCTTGTGAGCAGCTATGAAGGAGACCAGCACGGCACACCAGGGGTTTAGTGTGACCATTGCCGCGTTCAGGTCGCGCCAATCTCTCCCCAGTGCTGATGTTTGACACACCGCACCAGCTACTTGCTTGAGGCTGAGTCGATCTAAGGGAGGCCCAGGAGCGATTCGGTTACTCGTCTCCGATGTTGGCTGTGAACGGGAATCGAACTTTGGTTGGCCGAGTTCGTAAGCCAGTGCGCTAACCGCACTACACTACCGCTCCCCACAACTGTAAAACACACACACACACGCGTATACACAACGATCGCACACACACACATACACACAAACAACAAATACACCCAGAATGGACACACATGCAGAACAGAAACCCGTGCGTAAACGTGCAGACTTTGTACGCACACGGCACGTGCCTCTGTGGGAGTCGAATCGGTAGACACGTAGCTTATACATCGATTAGAATGTATCCTCAAGCTCGCGATACGTGCATCATCTACTCGCCGAGCGTCATGATGATGATGATGAGCACTGGATTCACGTCACCCCCTCCGGCGATTAGAGGCCGCGATATTGACCTTAGCCGTGAAATGATATTGCTTTGGGAGGAATTTTAGGAATGTAATGAGTTTTGCCTCCACTCCCTTCTACCTATCTTCGGATTGGGAATTCAATTTCAGTATCCAGAACCAGAATCTTTATTTATCCTGGAGAAATCCGATGAGCTATGAAGCTCTTTGTCACAGACGTCCAATAATAGCCACCACTTTCACCTGCTCACCCTGTTCATCCTCAGAAACTCTCACACCTCTCAAGACGCTGCCATCCCCGCAATCAACACAGCGCAGTATGTAGAGAGAGAGAGAGATACCTGGCCTTACCCTATAGACTGTTGGCACTCGTCCTTGGCCCCCCAAATGCAGATGCTTACACACCGCGCCGGGTACTTATTTGAGACCGAATCGTCCTCGAGGAGGCAAAGGACCAGTTTAGATAGAGCACTTCGCCACTGATGTTATCTATTCGTGGTCGGGTGTCGAACTTGGGCCGCGGTGTTCGCAGTGCAGTGCTTCAAGCACTGCACCACCCACTCTTCAAAGTATACACGACACACAGACACACGACATCACGAGAACGGCGTCACCACGGCTCACCGATGAGCCATGCAACACGAAACCAGCGGAGATCTAATTGTGTCGATCAAAAGTTAATTTTGTATTCCTTTATCGAATAAAAAAAAATCTCTCAATTAAATAAGCAAACATCCATATGGAAACCAACGGAGCAATGGACGCTAATTACATAACACTATGCGTATTGCGCTAGACAGATTCGGGTCGAGATATTGATTAATTAAAATGAAGGATGTGTAGGGGTCAGGGGTGGAGTTGTGGCGCACTTATTAGCGCACTGCGTCCTGGCCACAGCCAACATCAGTAACGAGCGGTGTCTGAACTGGCCCTCTGTCCCACCCGCTCCCAGCAACCTGAACTGCTCAGAGGCCTTCATCCAGCAGCGGGTTGAACAAAGGGCTGAATATTACAATCGAGGAGGAGCCCGTTTAGTACAGGATACAGGTGTTATATGTTGGGCCTGCGAAGTTGCAGTACAGCAATGCGTTCTTGACTCTTATCTGTGGGGAGATGTGAGTGTTACCCTCTTGTACGCGTTGGTGGTGTTTTCTCGGCATACTCCAATTTCACTGGAGGAATTGGCCAAATATCCCAAATGCAAGGCCCTCTGAAAAAAAAAACAAGAGTCTTGAGACTTAGTGAGGCTTTCCCGAGTGACTGACGGACATTACCATTATATTCAAATGGGCACTTGCGGATTTGATGATTTTAAACTTTTCGTGTAGAATTTGCAGCTTCGATTAACGCTTTTGAAAGCAATTATCTCACAACGTGGGGGTGTACAGCCAAAGCTGAATTCAAGTTTTCTCCTTTGCTCCAGTTCAATGGAGAGAGTGACCTTTTCGGTGGAGCCATGTGATGGTAAACATTTGGGAAAGGAAGCATCTTTACCAGCTCTCTTCATAATCTCCCTCCATCAATCACCCCCGTCCCTTTCTCCCCAGTATCCCCCTCTCAACCATCTCCCTCCTTCTCTCCACGACCTCCCTCCCTCCCTCCGCACTCCACCTGGCAGGCCATGTCAAACACACTCTCTGGATGTAACGATTATCTGCACCCCGAACTCCAGCGAATCCATGAACGGTAGCGATTTGATTCAGGGTTTCGATTGTATTCATGACTTCAAGATTTGGCTACATGTTTCACATTGTGGTGAATGCAACGGCCACTGGTGGCTGCAGGGATCAAGTTAATCCATTACACGCAGCATATACTATACGAAAATAATCAATGTACCGATAACATATGTATGCAAATTACATACGTGGGCCTGTATCGATAGTTCCATTTTAACGTGTAATTTTATAGAGGGACTGTGCGTTGGCTTAGTTGTTGAAAAATCGGCAGGAATTTTTGTACTTATGCCAGGTATACTTTTGCACTTTGTTTTTAGTGACGTGCTTACCTTTTCTCTATTTTGCACTCCTATCGTTGTTTTTGTCTTGTTTGTTGTTGTAACTCGCTGACCCGCCCCTTCCGGACATCTGTGAAAAAGAGCTTTATAGCTCATCGGATTCATTCACGATAACAAAGATTATGATTCTGGAATAAAGATTCTGAATAGAGCGGACACGACTGTGCAATTGAGACCGAACAGACGAGAACATATGACACAATTACAAATATATTTTACCAGGTAAGGCCCACTGAGCTATACGGCTCTTTTTCAGAAGCGACCTGGCCACAAATGATAGCTCAACCAAGTGACTTATCACGTGGAAATTTATAGCAGCCAAATCAGCTAAACGCATGTGGTTCTAAATCTGGAGGGAAAAACCGGAGGACCCGGATGAAAATCCACGTGACCACGGGGGAGAGAGCGACACACCGCAAACTCCAAATATACAGCAGGCGTCACGGTCCGAATCGAACCCACAACCTCTTTTATCCCAGGCGGGTAAGTTAATTTCTCGCTAAAGTGGCGCCCCTGATATTATTGATATCTCAACGTAACCAACAATCGCCAGCTCAGTGTTGCCCTCTCTTACACACAAAAGGGCTACGAGTTCAGATCCCGGTCAGAGGTCAACTCACCCCATCATCTGTCCACGGTGGATAAAGCAAAGTACCGCTTTGTGGGAAGTCAACAGTGGAATTCCCAAGGATCAAATGGCCCTCTTTGATGTGGAATCTCCGCAGCTGGCGAAGGGCCAACAGCAGTGGTGGTTCTCGCCCTCCCCCGCCCCGCTCCCATGCTCGTTTGAGTGGGAAGATGAGAGCAGATTTGACTCCACCGACATCACAAGACAGCATAGCAAAGCAAAAAAAAACGCTCAACAATTAACAGTCGTGTGGTGTGATTTTTTAAAATATATAACATAGATTTTAACAAGAATACATATTGGCTGGGTAGAATAGTGGAGCAGTGCACTATGAACCCAGCCAGCCGAGTTCGAATCCTGCAGACGGTTGGCATCAGTGGTGAGTGATAGCAACCGGTCCTGGACCTCCTTTGGCACTAACCCAGTGCGGAGAAGTAGCATTGTTCCATCAATCCCCATGTCCAATATGGCATGGGGAGATCGTCATTCAGCAGTGGAATGACGAAGGCAGTAAATTATTATTGTGGTGTCATTTGAGAAGCACTCACAAGTCCTCGCATGCATAGTGAACAAACAGCAATGAATGCAACGGCCGCAAATTAAAAAAAGTTAGGATAGATCATGTGCACTCATTGATTACGTAACACTTTATCACGTGCGTTTTCCTTCGCGAGTATATCATTAGTAGCATGGACGTCAACTGACAACTATCCGTGCGATGTGCACTTGCGTATTTGCGTCCAGGGCGTTTTTCTCTGTGATGTGTGTGCACGCTCTGAGCACTCGCCCTTGGATCAATGTTGTTGATTTTCAATGGAATAAGTCCCTGATAGCAACACACAAGGCCGTAGCCATGGAGTCAACATTGGGGGGGACCAAATCTTCCAGGGGGTTTGGGGGTCCCCCCCCCAGAAAAAAATCTAAATTTTAAAACTCATTTCCTGCCTAAAATATAAAAAAAATCACTAACACATAAGATGGACTTTTCATTTATTTTTTACAATAATGTCTAACAGTGTATTGTATTACATTGCTCTGTTTTTTCTTTTTTACCTTTTCTTGTTTCATTGTATGTAATGGCAGAGATTCTGGATTAATAAAGTACAACCATAACCACAATCGTATAAACAGAAATCTATTTCATAGCAATATATTGGGGGGGGGGACATTTTGAGCATATTTGAATATTGGGGGGGGGTGTGTCTCCCCCAATATATATTATAATTACGGCCTTGGCAACACAACTCTGTATTCAACTTTCCTTCACATTGGATCACCTTTACTCGAGTCACGAGTGCCCCGTCACCACGTTACAGACGGGCGGACGGGCAGAGCTAATGCCACGAGCGCTTTCAAGCGTGACTCTGAAACACCGACTCACCCACTTCACTGCCCCCCCCCCCCTCCACGTGGCCGCAGCCGGGAACTGCTGGCTGCAGCAGGGAGCCAACGGGCGTTGCCAGGGACTGCTGATGAGCGCCGTGTCGCGCGAGGAATGCTGCAGGGGGGGTCGCGCGGGCACCGCATGGACCCGGCAGGACGTGTCGTCGGGCCTGCTCTTCAGATGGCTCGTGTTCAGCAAGGGCGCGCCCGACTGCCAGCCCTGCAAGGGTACGTGACGCGCTCGCGCATGTGTGCGTGCGCGTGCGTGTGTGTGTGCGTGCGTGTGCGTGTGTGCGCGTGCGTGTGTGCGTGCGTGCGCGTGCGTGCGTATGTGGGGAGCGGTGGTGTAGCGGTGAGCGCGCCGCGCTACGAACCCCGCGACCCGAGTTCGATTCGCACTCACTGCCAAAACCAGTGACGATTATCTGAACCGGTCCTGGGCCTTCCCTAGGTCGACTCAGCCGCAAATGAGTACCTGGTGCGGTGTGTACACATCGCCACTGGGGAGACAAAGGCGGCCGAGCGTGGTGTTGGCCACCCACCCCCTCGTGTGCCGTGCCAGTCTTCATAGGTGCTCGCTAACAGCACTTGCCCCTACAGTCTGTTAAGGCTACACGGGGGATATGTCTTTGTACGCGACCTAGGTGTGCGTATGCGCATGACGTATGCGCCTACAACCTTCCTGTTTCCTCGCACTGCCTGGCTTTGGAGCTCCTCCGTCCCATCATCTCTTTTCCCAAGTTATTGTACGCTTGCCGAATCAAAGCATACATAGTTAACAAACGTGTTGGCGTACTATCATTCGTCCCTTCTGGCTTTGGAACTTCAGGAATTGTTCAAATCCAGAAAAGCGTGGCTCTGTCTGAATCTAAATCTATTTCGCCACCACAACGTTTGTGCTCTGTGTTGTTGCACGATTTCCCTTGATTAGTCCCATGAGCCCAGACGAGATATTGAATGAATGGGTAACAACCCATTCATTGAGGTGGCCATAAATGCCATAGTTCAAATTTGTGTGGACAACAATAGTGAATTATGTGATCACCATATGATATAAGCGGGGTTAATCAAAGTAATTGAATCTGTATTTGCCGTATAATTACATCAGTGCCTCTAAAGTTGTGTGACCTTAGGTGTTACAAAATCCTACTCTTTGTCCATGGACTCATGGGATTCTGGAACTGTGCTCAGCAACTGTGATAACACAAGAACATTAACTGTTTTCTGTGCGCGAAAAGCAAACTCTGTAAATTTGCGTTTGAGATACAAATAGTGGCCAATTCGCTGAGATATTTCGGTGGAAATGTTGGCACCGCTGATGCTGTAGCTCGCGCTGGGTTCATCACTGATATTTTTCAGTTGTTTATTGTCATTGTTTTTTTTACTGTTGTTCATGGCCGTGAATCGCTGATGTTTTTGTGTGTTTTCACCATCATCACCGTCATCATTGCCGTCCATTGCCCGCGTGCATCGCCGATGCTCGCTGTTGTTCTCTTCGTGCGAACGCGCATCGCTCTGGCCGCCGTCGTTGGTCCTCATCGTTCACCTCCGTCCTCGTCGTCGTCTTTTGCGCTCGTCGTGCAGAGACGTGCGACAGCGTGGAGTGCGGCCCGGGCAAGCAGTGCAAGCTGAGCCGGCGGAGCCGGCCGCGCTGCGTGTGCGCGCCCCAGTGCCCGCGCGGTGCCACGGGCAGCGCCGGCGGCGGCTCCAGCACCAGCCCCGCCGCTCCGCCGGCGGCGGCCCCGAGGGGCCCCGTGTGTGGCTCGGACGGGCAGACGTACCGGCACGAGTGCGCGCTCCTCCGAGCACGCTGCCGCCTCGGACAGACCACGCTGCACGTCCAGTACCAGGGCAAATGCAGAAGTACGGGGGTTGGGGTGGGGCACGTTGTCACGCACCGACTCGCCGATGTTGACTCACTGATTCGCCGACCTACCTACTGACTGAGCCCACCCGCCTTGTGACCGGCTGACGGAACCACTCACCGACTCACTAACCCACCCACCGACTGATTGACCCGTCAACTGACTAACCCACCCACCAGCTGCCTAACCCACCCACTCACCGACTGATTGACCGATCCACCAAACGACTGACCCACCAACCCACACGGCGTGCGACAGCGTGGAGTGTGACCCGCGTTGAAGGAGCCCGCCACCCACCAGCCGACTCAGTGGATCACTGACACGACTTAGTGGACCACTGTCACGTGTTTGGGTGGATGGGCTACTACCTTGCCTTGATGCCGATGTGCACACAACCCGCTTGTGGGAAATGCCCAATCCACGTCTCGTTGCTGAACCTTGCTTTCCATCTGACGTTTGGTGAAAACCCACCGATGTCTCCATCATAACCACGACGAGCAACAATTAGATGACTATTTATAGAAATCGTGAGTGAGGAGTTTTTGCCAGCTTTGGTGACATTTATTCCTGCAGTATATTGGTGGACTAATTAATGTTCAGCCATTAATTATGTTTCATCATCCACCCCTCACCCTTCTGACCCCACCATCCATCCACCCATCCATCACCTCCCACATCCACCCACACAATCATCCATTGATCCACTGACCCCTTCGCCTATTTATTTATCTGCTCAACACACTCACCTACTCACTCGCCCACCCTCACCTCACTTCATTTACCCATTCACTCTAACTCACCGCACCTCACCCCACCCACCACGACTCCCGGCGGCTCCACCACAGAGTCGTGCCGCGACGTGCAGTGCTCCGGCTCCGCGTCGTGCGTCCTCGACCAGAGCGGCGCTGCTCACTGCGTCGAGTGTGGCAGCCGCCCGTGCCGCGAGGCCAGCGGGCCCGACGCTGCGCTGTGCTCGCGCGAGGGCCGCACCTACGACAGCCTCTGCCACCTGCGTCGCGCCGCCTGCCTGCGTGGACGCGCCATCGCCGTCGCGCACCCGGGCTCCTGCAACAGCAGGTCGGGGGTGGGCTGAGCGGGGGGGGAGGGAGAACGGAGAGGGAGGGGAGGATGATGATGATGAGGAGGAAGCAGAGGTCGCAACCGGGTACCCGATACCCGTACCCTACCCGATACCCGGCTACCCGTACCCGGCCGGGTGCGGGTAGCCGTTTGCGACCCTGGTGCGGCCGGGTACGGGTAGGCCGTGAGTCACTGGTGAGTCACCGTTTGTCACTCATTTCGGGTAGGGTACGGGTAGGGAACGGGAACCCGTACCTGGCCGGGTACGGGTACGGGCACCCATTTGCGACCCTGGTGCGGCCGGGTACGGGTAAGGAATCAAAACCCGTTTGCGACCTCTGTGAGGAAGGAGGTGGAGTGCTGGGTGGGTGGGGGGCATAGAGGGGAATGCATGGAGGGAGGGATGAGGGGGAGAAAGGAGGGGTAGGATGAAGAGGAGGGGAGGGTTGCGATGGGGGGGGGAGGGGGGTGCAAAAACATCTGTGGGAGGTGTGCGGAGCGAGACGGGCGATGCACGCGGAAGGCAGTGAAGGTTGACGAGAAGGGAGATTTAGAAGGGAGGGCGAGAGATTTTTTTGAGAGACATTTTTGAGGGGGGGTGGAGAGGAAAGGGAGGACACGGGAGAGTCAGGAGAGGTCAAGGAATTGGGGAGAAAAGGGAAGGAGAGGAAAAGATGCAGGCTATAAGGACAGAAAATGCCTAATTTAGTCATTGGAAATACATTCTTCTGATGATTGGAATACTCGGGAAGCTGATAACATGACGGAGAGACTGAATGTGTAAGCTTTCAGCGCACAATAAACGCAAACCCAGCACGCCCTCATTTTACCGAGCTCGTTCACAAGGCTCCGTGTTTAACCTCTTGACCCCCCCCCCCCCCGTTTTTTTGACCAGGTAAACACGCGCTGGCACCTGAGCCTCACTGACGGCACGAGTCCTGGGCCAAGACGGCTTCACTCCAAACCAGTTTTAACCTCCCCCCCATAACCCCAACTACCCCCCCCACCTCACCCCGCACGCAAGCGACACGTTATTATTATTATGTAACATATAAAGGACTAACATTGTTCGCGTCGTTTTTACCACGAAACCTCCAAACTCCAAAGCCATCATCCGAGTGTGGATTCGCCCCCCCGACTGACCCCGTGCGTTTAAGTGGCCTGGGCAGCAGCAGCGGCCACCACCACCACGACCACCACCACCACGGCCACCACCACCACCACCACGGCCACCACCACCACGACCACCACCACCACCACCACGGCCACCACCACCACCACCACGACCACCACCACAGCCACCACCACCACCACCACGGCCACCACGGCCACCACCACCACCACCACCACCACGACCACCACCACCACCACCACGGCCACCACCACCACCACCACGACCACCACCACGGCCACCACCACCACGACCACCACCACGACCACCACCACGGCCACCACCACCACCACCACGGCCACCACCACCACCACCACCACGACCACCACCATCGCGCCAGCCTTGCGCGTGCGCCGATCGTTCCGTCAAAAAAGCTTCCGGCCGGTGCCCCATATTCCTCGCTTACGCTGTAGCTCTCAGAGTCCGCTTGGATCCCGTGGCACATGGTGGGGGGTGGGGGGGGAGAGCCGAGACAGACGCAGAGGGACAGGTGGAGGAAGAGAAGAGATGGGAGGGGAAAAAAAATCAGTGTTACACCAAAATTCAAAGTCTGTATTTATTTCTTTATAATAATTAATGTACATGTTTTGATAACTGCAGACGTGGCCAGTACGTTTCGTTTCTAGTGAAAGAATCATTATTTATAATAGAGACTCCTTTTTTTTTTACCTTGTGTTTTTTATTATTATAATTATTATGTTTGGAACTTTGGACAGACAGAAAGAAAAAAAAAGAAACCTCGACTTTTTCAGAAATGTTCGTCTTTATTTATTTAAGAGAGTACAATTGTCTTTTTTTTTTGTTAAATCGGTATATGTATATTTGTTATGCTACCTCATTGTTTATAGTGGATATACTTACAGGTGACTTGTGAGCCATTTCGTATCATGGAGACCTGCCAGCCAATCACCGGCCACCCTCGTCATCAGACTCGTTCACGATGCAGAGATTCTTTGGGTTAGCACCGATTCCTATGCTCACGGTCCATTGCATCGTGCGCGCAAGAATCAATTAGTTACGGTTTATGCAAATGGAATGCAAAGAAAACAGGTACGCTCACGCTACACGTAGACCAATGCAGCAATTTAAACAGTACAAACGAAACAGAGATAGAGAGGAGGAATACTAACCCCGAGAAACAATACAAATGGGATGCTGAAAACAATACACAAAAAAACAACAGAAACAATCTATACATTCGTGAATCCAATACAGACCCCCCCCCTCCTTCCCCCGAATCATGATATTTCATCAAATCGCTGGCACGGTGAATCATTGACAAGTCTACTCATCGTAGCTCAGCTTCGCAACGGAGAGCCGACTTGCGGCGGATGCACGAGACGGCCTCTCGTGACCGTCCGTGGCCGCAACCAAAAGGAGCTGCAGCATCGAGTCACGAAGTCGCTGGTTGAAGTCACACCAAACACAACAAATGTGTCGCTCGACTTGGAATGGCGCGGATGGTAAAAGTTGCCACACTTCTGGGAGACTCGCCCGAGACACGTGGTGAGACCGGCAGACCATCTCGCTCCGTTAAACCCCTCCCACTTCCACGCAGCCGTTCCCACTGAGTCACGAGCACAGTGCCCACACCTCTTGTAATGACATCGCCCCCCCCCCCCCCCCCGCTTACTCTTTATAGGCCAACGCCTAATCCTCTACCAACCAACACTCAGGTAGGTCCCCCCTCCTATGTCCATAGCACGTGTGGAGCGTGATGACAGAAAATGCAAACTCGAGACAAAAATCCCAAATTTCACAAATGCTTTGGCACACCAGGGCAGCCTTTCTGAAACTGGGACTGTCCTGGCAAAACAAAACAAAAACCGCGACTTATGGTAGCTTTGGCAGATGGCAATTGATGAATTGGTGAACACTGCATCTCAATGTCCAAATTTGCTCTGCACAGAACCTGACCTCCCATTCCTTGTTGTCTCAACCCATATACAACCATCCTCATCCCGTCTGATAGTGAACCATGAGTTCATCCTATAGAAAACGAATTTCTATGATAACAGACAAAAGCCTCATCCCATCGGGTAAGGAATCCTGACTACATTCCATGGAGAATATTTACTAATAATTCGTAATCATTTACAACCCTTTGCAAATGCCTCCGGTGAACGAGGGCTTCGTTACATTCTGAGAACAGAAACTTCCCCCCATATAATAGCGAACCCCCTTTCTTCCCTCCGCCTCTTTTCAGCTGGTCCAAACGCCTTTATGCATCCACGATAATACATTCAGTCGGCTGAAGAACTCACATCCCATCCTCAAGAGAGCTGTCGTCGAGTTATTCTATCCAATACAGAACCCTCGTCTCCTGCGGTCAATGTACACGTATTATAGAGCACGTGTATCGTCTGATGCAAACTCCTTATCCTGTTCAATGTCCCAGTCGAAAACGGGCACAAGACTCTCATTTCATTCACTGCGGAATCCTTGATAGAGAAGCTTTCATCATCAGACTCACCCCAAGCTGTCTGTCACCTATCTTCCTCACTTTCTTTCGATGCAAAAAAAAAAAATCCATCGAGGTTCTTGCCCACGAGCCGAATGTTGCATCCAATACAACCGCACGCGTGTCATCCCGTTGGGTAAAAGTGGCCCCTCTTAATCTGATAGAGACACTTCGCGTTATCCAATACAGCATCCGCCCGTCCCATCTGATATCCAACAGACTCCTCTTGTTTAGGCGCCTTTGGCTCGTTGAGAGTCTGCCAATTCCACTCAATCGTACACGAGCGATAAGACAAAGGCAAAGGTCCCCCATCGAGCCTTAACAGGCCGTGGGGGACAAGTGCTGTTAGCGAGTAGCACCTATGAAGGCACGTCACAGGAGGAGGTTGGTAGCCAACACCACGCCTAGCCGCCTTTGTCTCTCCAGTGGCGATATTTACACATCACACCAGGTACTCATTTGAGGCTGAGTCGACCTAGGGGAGTCCCAGGACCGGTTCAAACAATCGTCACTGGTGTTGGCCGAGAGTGGGAATCGAACTCGGTTCACAGCCGGGTTCGTAGCGCAACTGGTTAACCGCTACACTACCGCTCCCTACACGATCAGACACTCACGCACACACCACACAATTACACAACAAGCGTTTGATGAATGCACACCCCGAGCGTGTACACAACGAGTCACCACCCGCCGAAGCTCTCTTCACGTGCAACGTAAAAAAAAAGAGGAAAACCAATGAATATTGCAGCCACTTTGCGATGCTTTATGAAACGCTCGGCAATCAGAAGCGACGGGAACGAGCGAGGGCCGTGGATGTCAGGCCCGGTGAGAGAGGCTCCTACGACTTTGCAGACGCAAATTGTTTAATGTTCAAGACACAATTGCACAGCATACCGACTTGTCATGATTATTATTATTATTGTTGTTATTATTACAAATTTTTTTTGGTTTGTTTTGTTTTCAAATGAATATTTATGGTGTGTGTTATACACGTCTTGTATCCTCGTGCATATAAATTAGTATTTGGTAAACCAATAAAGTATCGGCACATACACGCGCGTGCGTGTCTCTCCCTCTCTCTCACTGCTTGTAAAGTGCCGACAACAAACATGCGGCGTTCAAATAAATTGAGAAAGAGCGACTTAGTTGAGCGTACGAATAAACAAACGATGCAAAAAACACCCGCTCGAGAAGGCTGCTGAACATGCAAGCATCGTGACAGGAAGTGAGAGGCAGGGCCTAGAAAGTGGTGGCTCCAAGTGGTGAGCCAGAAGTGGTGAGCCAAGGATGTCAAGGACCGTGGAGTGGACGTGCAGACCATGACCCAGGACAGAATTGAGTTGGGAGAGAGAACCCAGAAGGTGGACCCCAATCTTCTTTCGTCTGGATTAATAACGGTAGATCAAAGATGCAATTTTGGATTTGTTATCCACCCAAGTGTTTAAATTTCGATTTAAAGCTTTCGTGACTGCAGGGATTCATCTTCTTGGTTCTTTCGGTAAAGTCATGTAGAAGGGAAGTAATAAAATAATAAAAAGAAAACATAATAAATTATGTTTTATTTTTATTATTTTATTACTTCCCTTCTACGTGACTTTACCGAAAGAACCAAGAAGATGCACCCAAGTGTTTGTTCAGAAGCAGAGTGGGATCTCGTCCATTCCTCCTTTAAAGGGGTGAAGACCAGCGGAGTTTTTTTTCCTCCCCTACGATGTGGACGACGGTCGTGATTCGTGGTCGCACTTGCAGGCTGCCGAATCTTCGGACGCGACATTTGTGCATCAGGTGGCCGCAAGGAGCCACGCGCGGGCCCTCGATTTGATTTCATGGTCGACCTATTGGCAGACCCCATGAGTGATGGAGTCAATGTCGGGAGGATGGAGACTCAAGACTTGATGATACGGAAGTCTAACAGGGCACAGTCGGCCATTTGCAGAGGTGCAGCGTGTTCGCACCTCCGGTTAGCTACGTACGGTGCGAAAGAAGTTCAATATACATACATACGCACATACCCACGTGTGCATATTTTCGGTGATCGTTTGACCAAAGCCAAGAGAGAGAGATTTACGTTTCTCTCGGTTCAAGGGCTCAAATGGGACGTGAAGCTCGCTGTTTTTTTGGTCAGCCTGTTGATTGAACGAGTGGCGAGTGTTTGTAAACGAGCAAATTGAAATAACAATGTTGATCATTCACAGGCCTTTGCCGAATGAAGCCCCCCACCATGATGCTTCAGTCGTAGGGTTTGTTTGGTCATACTTCACCGTGCTGGTCAATGCAGTTTGGGGGAGTGGGGGGCCCAGGAACGGTTCGTAATTTTTTTCTAAAAAATCACTCGCCATCGGTTCTAGCCGTGAGTGGGGCATCCAATTCGGGTCGTCGAGTTCGTAGCGCGATTCTCTAACCGCTGCGCCACTGAATATGATAATAGGTTTTCCCCTTTTTTCTGGCAACAAAACAGGTGTTAAGATGTAAAAAAAACCCAAACTGAAACCTTTTACAAGGAATCATGTGTGCATTAACCACAATGCTCGTGGTCAGAATGCAAACAAAAAACATACTCTGATTATATGTGTTGTCTTTGAAACTGATTGGTCCACACTAGAGACAGCTTTTTTTGGAGCCTCGTCTCATATGGTGTTAGACCTCTGGTCTAACAACATTTGAGACTAGACTCTGGTGTGGACCAATCAGTTTCAAAGACAATGCATATATGATCAGAGTACGTTTTTTGTTTGCATTCTGACCACGAGTATTGTGGTTAATACAGACACGATTCCTTGCAAAAGGTTTCAGTTTGGTGTTTTAACATTCTAACACAACTGTTTTGTTGCCAGAAAAAAGGGGAAAACCTATTCTCATATTTTGGTGCAGGCAAAGGAGGCCCCGTGACGTTGCGCCACTGCTCCACCCACCGCAGTAGACCACACACAAACAGCCGCACACCACAGAGAAGCATTCGCGAGCACATTTCCCCATGGAAATACGAGACGAGCCTTTGCTTGCTGGTCCCGTGTACGCTCGTTCGCTCGCTCGGTCGTTCGTTCGCTCGTTCGCTCGCCGACTGACCGAATCCGGTCACGATTGGCAACCTCTCGGTAGACAAACGGGTGACCTGCGGCCCCGTCTTGTCGGGTTTCCTCGGCATGAGTCCAGCATCGGGCATCAAAACCTCCAATGTCGCCCTGTGTCCCCACCTCCCACTGCGGGTCAATGGGCCGACACACACTCAAGTTGTCGTGGCGCTCTCCGTGTCCCTCGTGCGGGCTCGGTAATAGTTTCCCCGATTCTAAACGTGTCTTTTATTTATTTTACCACGTAAGGCCCACTGAGCATATAGAGCTCTTTTTGTCAGAAGTGACATGCCCACAAATGATGAGGTCAACGAATTGGCTTTTCACGTGGAGATTAATAGCGGCAGCCAGAAACTCTAAACGCGTGTTTTATTCTAAATGTGGAGGGAAAAACTGGAGGACCCACGTGGCCACGGGGAGAGAGAGAGAGGGACACGCAAATTCCAAATATGCATCAGACGTCAGGGTCGGGATTGAACCCGCGACCTCCTGTACACCAGGCGAGGTAGTTAACATCTCGCTACCGAACCTGAACTGACCAACGTGGCGAAGTAGGTTCAAACAACTCCCTACGACTGACAGTATGTACTGTATGTATGTTGAACTTCTTTCGCGCCGTACATAGCCAACCGTGGTAATCGGAGGTGCGGGGGTGAGGACAAGAAACGAAACACAAAAAGCAGTCCTAAAGAAAAGAGTTTAATGCCTAAACGTGTCGCCACAAAAGGTTGCGGTGTCAACGGAATACATTTGAGGCAATGGAACGTCACGAAGGGCGTTAAGTTGAAGAATTATACAAACAGAAGGTAACGTCATGATCATAAGCGTACACACGCACACTTGCCACTGCAGGTCGGCGACAAAATTAAAGCCCTCAAAAGCAATGAGAAACGTCGTCATAATGGGCCACATTGTTTACGTTAACAACAATAACAACAACAACAAAACGGCGGGGGCTACGGCGGACACCTTCAGCGGCTGCGACGATGACGGCGGCCTCGTCGCGACGATTTCACCAAAAATTCCGATGGGAAGGGAGTGGACAAGGGTGGGAAAAAATTATCTTTTTTTTAATGATATATTTTTAAATGATATTTTTTAAAATTATATTTTTTTACATTATATTTTTAAATCTTTTTTTTTAAAGGGGGCAACGTTGGGACGTTGGGCCAAACAAGAACGCGCGACCGTCGTCGACCAGCGAGAGGCGAGGGCCCCTGCGACGAGTCGGCAAAGGCGCGGAGGAGGAGGAGGACACGTGGTAAAGATCTCGGTAAATTAGAGGAGCGAGACGGAGAGACGCTTATGAAAACACGGCGTATTTATGCACTTACGAGCGTGTGCTCGCGCGTCTGGGTGCACGGGGGGGGGGTAAGTTTAGTTTCTCACATAATATACAGACCGGCAACGAGGGGGGCTGTGTCGTGTTTAAGGTTTTCAAGAGAAATCAATCATCTACGCTCATGGCCGAGCAAACAATTGCCCTTTTTTTATTTATTTCTTCTTTACTTTTTTGCTTTACTCCCCCCCCCACCCACCACCTTCTTTCAGGGCCAGGCAGCGGAACTAAAAAGCCATCCTTGAACAGTCCTGATCAAATGCGACACGAAAGCGGGCGGAGATATCGGCACAGGGAGTACGAGTGAGCGAGCGAGACACACAAACTCTAAACTGTTTTGATTTAGAGCCAGGGAGGGAGGGAAGGCGGGCGGGCTGGGTGAATGCTTAGTTGGATGGGTGGGTGGGTCGGTGGCTGTGTGGCTGGGTGAATATGTAGTTGGATGGGTGGAAGGTTGGGTGGGTCGGTAGCTGGGTGGCTGGGTGGTTGGATGAGTGGGTCGGTGGCTGGGTGGGTGGCTGGGTGGTTGGATGGGTTCGTGGCTGGGTGGGTGGCTGGGTGGTTGGTTGGGTGAGTCGGAGGCTGGGTAGCCGGGTCGACGGTTGCGTCGGTCGATGTACGTGTGGGTAGCTGGATGGGTGAGTTAATAGTTATTGGGTGGTTGGGTGGTTGACTGGATGGGTTCGTGGGTGGGTAAGTGGATGACTGGAAGGCGACTGGTTCGATAGCTGACTAGTCACCTACCAAGCTGGTTAGCTGGGTGGGTGACTGGCTGAGTGCCTGGTTAGTTTGCCTGGTGACTAGCTGGTGTTTTTCTACCTCTTGTGGCCACGCTTGAGGGTTAAGCATAACATATAATGGAAGTACACCATGTAAATTGCTTATTTGTATGATTTTGTGAATATTTGTTTTTAACGGATACCATGTCTGTTTTTATTATATATGCTAAAACACTTGGTAAGGAATTTGCTAAATATTCCAACGTTCCAAATAGACCCTTTTAAAAATAACCTTCAGACTAGTTTTTGCTTTCTGCACGACCGTAGATGTAGCGGCTGCTGGTGGGGGTGGGGGGGGCAGATTTCCTTGCACCTGAGAATCGAAGGGGCCTTACAAGGCCCATTTGTTGGGTCTGGCTTCCAGGGTAAAAACCATCACCACAATTATGCATCAAGTTGCGTCAGCAGCAGTGAACAGCAGGAGAACGTTGTGTTTTACCAGCGCAAACTCACTGAGATTTGAATTTACTTTTTTGCAAGGGGACCCGGGTTAAGAGGTGGAAACCGATAGCAAATAATTAAATCGTATCAGAGTAGCCCAACATCCCACGGCCAAATACAAACATCTTACAAGACGAATAGGGATAATAACATGGGAATTAGAAGCGAAATGGGCTGTCGTTAAGAAGATAATATCAGGGCATTAGTTAGAGTTAGGGTTTGGGTCAAAGTTATTTATATGTATGAACGTATGCATGTTGAACTTCTTTCACACCCGTACGTAGCCAACGGTACTAATCGGAGGTGCGGTTTGTAGCAAGTGATTTTATTAGTTTCACCGGTATGGGAGATGTGAGCACTAGGGGGTCACAAAAGTGTAAATGTCCGGCTCAAAGTCAAGCGGTCATCAC